TTACTTATGCAATTTTTTTATATTATTATGAGTAGTATAGTAGATGAGAAGTCATTTCATGGCCTAGGCCAATCCATAATAGATGAGAGACACGTAAACACTCTGTTTCTCCAGGACTATTTAAAAAGCAATGAGAATGATTTAATTTGTGCGGGCTCCAATAATTAGCTCACAAGTCACAACTATAATCATCATCACCTTTTTAAAACTATAATCCTAACTAAGTGGAGCTCACCAGTCACTACGTATCTAATTATGATAAGTTAATAACAAAACTTAATGGATAATCTATATTATTCTTGAAGATAACGTTGGTGTTCTGCGTGGAGCCGCTAAACGCGCCGCTGCTTCTGCTTGGCATCTGCGCCACAACGGCGTTCGTGAGCATGTGGATGCACAACGTAGCAGCTGCGGTCATGATGATGCCAGTGGCTACAGGGATACTTCAGAGACTTCCCTCGTCATCATCGTCGACAGAAGTGGTGCATCCGGCCGTGGGGAAGTTTTGCAGAGCGGTGGTGTTAGGTGTGATATACTCGGCGGCTGTTGGTGGAATGAGCACACTCACTGGAACTGGTGTGAATCTGATACTTGTTGGAATGTGGAAAAGCTATTTCCCTGAGGCTGATCCAATCAGTTTTAGCCAATGGTTCTTCTTTGGCTTCCCGTTGGCTTTGTGCATATTTGTGGTGCTTTGGTGTATTCTATGTGTTATGTATTGTCCTAAAGGAGCAGGACAAGCTCTTTCTCCTTATCTCCATAAATCTCATCTTAGGAGAGAGCTTGATATGTTAGGACCAATGAATTTCGCTGAGAAGATGGTCTTAGCCGTGTTTGGTGGGTTGGTTGTGTTGTGGATGACAAGGAATATAACCGATGACATCCCCGGCTGGGGTCGGATCTTTGACGGCCGGGCTGGGGATGGAACCGTGAGTGTGATGATGGCGACATTGTTGTTTATTATCCCAAGCAAGATTAAAAAAGGAGAGAAGCTAATGGATTGGAGCAAATGCAAGAAACTCCCATGGAACATTGTCTTGTTATTGGGAGCTGGATTCGCTATAGCCGATGGAGTACGCACAAGTGGCTTAGCTGAAGTCTTATCCAAAGGACTAGTCTTTCTTGAAACGGCTCCTTACTGGGCCATTGCTCCAACGGTTTGCCTCATTGCTGCTACTATCACAGAGTTCACATCAAACAACGCAACCACTACATTGTTGGTTCCGTTACTGATCGAGATTGCAAAGACCATGGGGATCCATCCTTTGCTCTTGATGGTCCCTGGTGCCATAGGGGCTCAGTTCGCTTTCTTGCTCCCCACGGGAACACCTTCTAACGTCGTTGGGTTCACAACAGGGCATATAGAGATCAAAGACATGATCAAAACAGGCTTGCCTCTCAAGATTGCTGGAACCATCTTTCTCTCCATCTTGATGCCCACGCTTGGTACACCTAACTTTACTCAAAACCTTCTTCTATAAATATAATCCAGTTTGCTTATAATTATTATTATATGATGGCAGGGGCTTACGTTTTTGCATCAAAGGGAGGAGTTTAGTTCTACGAGCGAAGCACAAGAACATATGGACACTATTGATTCGTTGTACTATAGTTTATGAATTACCCTAATATGGCATGTAGATATATATGGTCAATGGATGATGGAATGGGAAATCTAGATGTGGTCGCCAAAATTCACAAAATCGGCCCATTTTTGTAACCCGCCTGATTATAGTTTCCGGTACGATTGCTTTCTTTTGTGCGTCCAACGTACGGATAAGTCTGGTCTTCTTTTTTTGTGTGTGTATATAATAAAAGGGAAAATTCCTAAAAAAAACCTTATGTATTTTTTATTTGGACGTTTAATACCCAATTGTTTTCGGTTGGAAGAAAAATACACATATTAATAAAACTGTGCGATTTAATACCCAAACAATCAAATGTTGTTATTTTCATACTTACGAACTCACAACAAAAAATATATTCCAATTTTATCCTTATCATCTCAATTAATTATTAACTTTTAAATAAGGTGATATTTTTTTTCTTTAAATAAAAATTAATTTTGTTAATGCTTTATTTTATGATGCCTAAAAAATAAATTTTAAATTTATATAATTATTTTATTTTAAAATTAAACATAAAAATTAGCAGAAAATCAAAAATATTAAAAATAGTCATTTGTACAATCTTATTCCGTCTTTGCAATGTCAAAGAGACGTTTTCTCTTCGGTTCTAATTTTTTTGATTAATATCTACGAGAATTACCGGTAAACAATCTCCGTCGTCCTCTTTTGTAACCATCAAATTCGATAACCATTCGCAATCTCCTTTTAATCCTATCCAAAATCTTCATCGCCAATAAAACTAATTTGATTTGATTCGTCGTGATGCATATGATATCAACGAGCATCAATATGAACTTTTTTTTCGTCGTGAGAAACTCTCTATTCGAATATAAATCCTTCACGAATGAAACTATTTTCGACAAAATCTCAATCCGAATCTCATCGTCTCTCTCAAGATTTATCAATTCATAAAAATGGCTAATTTTTTTTTTTACTTTTTCTAAATTTTTAGCTAATTAATTTTATTTTTAATTTTTAAAATTAAATATTTGTAAAATAAACTGAAAATTATTTTGAAAATTTTTTTGAATTTTTTTTTGGGATAACAAAGAAATGAAATATTTATAAAATTAATTTTTATTTAAATAAAAAACTATTGTGACGTAATCTAAAAGTTAATAATTAATTGAAATAGTAAGGGTAAAATTGGAATTTTATTTTTGTTGTGAGATCGTCAGTATGAAAATAACAACATTTAATTGTTTGGATATTAAATCGCACAATTTTATTAATATGTGTATTTTTTTCCAACCGAAAATAATTGGGTATTAAACGTCCAAATAAAAAATAATTGAGGTTTTTTTGGGAATTTTCCCTATAATAAAAAGAGAAATCTAATAAATGTGTTGTGCCATATGATACAGCAAAATTGCCACAAAGGCTTCACTCTTTCCAAAATTGTCATAGTCTCTACGAGAAATGTCAAAATTACCCTTCCACCAAATCATTAATAAATAATTCTATTTTTATTTCTCTCTTCCACGTTTCTTTTTCTCTTTTTCTCCATTCTTCTTCTCCTTTTCTCTCATTTCTCTTTCATCTCTCTCTTTTCTCTAATAATAGAGCTCAATCTCCATGGATAACTCAATCTCCATAAATATAAAAGTTTCTCAAATTTTGATTTTTTTTCTTCTTATTCAAATATGGTCCAATTTAATTTCAAATAAATATTATTTGCATTGTTTTCGATTTTTTAACGGATCTGGGTCTGAATCTAATTTAGAAAGTAGAAGCGAGTCTAAATCTGAGAAAGAAGATAGACGAGATCTGTTATATTTTGCACGTGGACAATATTTTTTGTCTACCAATTTTTTTTTATATATGTTGTTTTGAATTCTTGTCCACCAAATATCTTCGAACTTTGTTGTTTCAAATGTAGACAAGTTTTTTGGTCCACCAAATATCTTCCTAATCTGTTGTTTCGAACGTGGACAACAATATTTGTCTACCAAAATTCTTCAAGTCTGTTATTTTAAAATCTTGTCCGCCAAATATCTTTGAACTCTGTTGTTTCAAATGTAGACAAGTTTTTTCGTCCACAAAAAATCTTTCCAGTCTGTTGTTTCGAACGTGGACATCAATACTTGTCTACCAAAATTCTTTAAGTCTGTTATTTCAAAATCTTGTCCGTCAAATATCTTCGAATTTGTTGTTTCAAATATGGACAAGGATTTTAGATTTTGTCCACGAATATTAGATGTGGACAATAATAGTAGTTGTTCACGATAAATGACATCTTTATTGCATCTGAATGAATTATTTAAATACCAAATATCTGACATCTAAATAAATATAAATTAATTAAAACCATAAATAAAAACAAAAAGGCACGTGGGTATTGTGTACTCAACACATTCTCATCTCTTTCCCACTTGTTTAGTCAAGGGGCATTTTCGTCTTCTTTATTATTTCATAAAGTTCAATTGTGGCACATTTGAAAAAGTTTATGTTTTGTGGCATTTTTGATAAGTTTTGATACCGTGAATGATACTTCCAACCAAATTCCCTAATAAAAAGGGTTAATTAATACAGATTTGTGTGTTCTTCTTCTTCTTCTTCTTCACAACACTACTAGTGCCACTAGTGGCATATCCAGCGGGCCAACTTTACTGACCATACCATACCACGTCATTGTCCAGCGTGTCTTCTTCTGTTTCCGGTTTTCTACAAACTCAAAAAGCAAAGAAGAAAAAAAAAACATTAATGCATGGTTTGTAACGCTTGCTTTTTAATTAGTTTTTGTCCTTTACACTCATTTACGTTCTTTCTTTGTCCTTTGCTATATACTGGAGTACTTGTCTATTAAATAATCGTAGAAAACTATAAATAGTCAAATCCTTTTGGGTATTCTTTATTTTCCTAGGTAGAAGTTGGCCATTGCAAATTACATAAATGATATCCAACCTCTAGAGGATAAACCTCATTAATTTGTCTTTATTATGCTGAATTCCAAAACAGATATATACCGAATACTTCATAAGTGACACCTGATTTAAAATCAATGAAAAATAGCTTTAAGTTAAGGATAAATTAAGAAATTTTGTGTAAAAGTCACATTAAAAATGTAGAATAATACTCTTTGTGAAACAAAAATAAAACTGTAGAATGACACTTTTTATTAAACAGAAAGTGTATATTTTACCTATAAATATTTTCTAAGGAAATTTGTGAGTATTAACTATTTTGCAATAAAATATAATTTTAAAATACATATACAAAGCAAAAAAGTACCAAAACTGTTTTAATTAAATAATTCACCTAACTTAAGCCCATGTATTAAACATTAGAAAAAAAAAATCTGCTAGTAATATAGAATTAAGCGACACGTTATGCCACGTGGCAGACCGCTAGTGTATTTAAAGACCCCATAAAACCCAATGAATCAACTTTGAGGAAACAAACGGTTACAAAGCAAAATGACTAGTAAGGTCGTCTTTCTTCTTACCCTCTCTCTCGTCGTCCTCCTCCTCCCTCTCTACGCCTCTGCGGCGGCCCGCGTCGGTGGTTGGAGTCCCATCAGCAACGTTACGGACCCTCACGTCGTAGAGATCGGGGAATTCGCGGTCTCCGAGTACAACAAACGGAGCGAATCGGGACTCAAGTTCGAGACGGTTGTTCGCGGCGAGACTCAGGTGGTCGCTGGAACGAATTACCGGCTTACGGTGGCGGCTAATGACGGGGAAGGAGCGAGCAAGAACTACTTGGCGATTGTATGGGAAAAGCCGTGGATGAAATTCAGAAATCTCACTTCCTTCGAGCCTGCCAATAATGGTCGCTTCCTTTAAGTTTTTTACATGTAACCGCTCTTTTAAAATATTGCAGAAACCAAACAAAAATAAACGAAGATAATTATTGTCTAATTTCTGTATTAGTTTTCAAAATTTGCAAATCTGAAGAAATGATAAGTGAACAAGTTTTTTTTTGACATATCCGGTAATTATGCCGGGTATGAAGATTATGGGTCAGTCAGGAGAAAGTTGAGAGATGTATCACTCACTAAATAATTAAATTAAATGAGTCAAATTGCAAAAGAGGAGACAAGAGAGAACCATGTGATGCTGAGGGAAAGAAAGAGTGAAGGTGTCATTTGTCTTTGGTCCATCCATCCATATAAGCTCATTTACATGTGACGACCGACGACCCTCTCCTGTTTTGTTTATCCAACTACCTTCTTCACATTTTTCATCATCATTCATTTCTCTCTACTAACAAAAAAGAAGAAGATTTTCTATGAAATATTGTACTAAGTGTCTAAATTATGGGAATATATTTTATTTGATTTGTAATCAACAGATCCGATTGGCAATACAAAACGGTGAAACCAATTTAGCGTTAAAAGAAAACAATAACGATACTGAAACAATCACGATATATAAGAAACAATGGTAAAAGACAACTATCCAAAAAATGCTAAAATCAGTACTGCTAGTTTTTATTAAAACGATAAAAGCTGACTAGTAAATGTTTGCAATCACATACCCAAGTATTCGAACAATTGATTTTCAGCCATATTGAAAAAATATAATCATAATAAAAAAAAAAATGACACGAAAACAAAATATAAATTAGTTTTAAAATCCGAGGGAAGCAAGAGATAGGAGAAAATAGCATTCTCTCTCTTCTTCTCTGAACATTTCCCTGCGCTAAAAATGGAAGAAGCCCAAGTGAGAGAGAGAAAGATGGTGAAAGGCGAGGAGATATAGGAAGGAGAGAATCCATATTCATATTCAGACACAACAACAACAAAAAAGCTTCAATTTTTGTGAAAAAGTTTCTGTCTTTTTGGGGGAAGAAGGGAAAGGTGTGTAAGGATAGGGTCGTGCGTGTCAACGAGAGGTGCTGCTAGACGTGAAGCCTCCTCCTCCGCATCGGCGAGGAGGCTTCCGTCGCAGCACCACCACAGCGGTAGCCTTAGCTCTTCTGGCTACGGCGGAGAACCGTCGGATCAATCCGATGTCGGCGGTGCGAAGATGAAAGGGCTTTTCAAGTCTAAGCCACGCACTCCTGCTGACCTTGTTCGACAAACGCGCGATCTCCTCCTCTACGCCGATCGATCTACCTCTTTGCCTGACCTCCGAGAATCCAAACGCGAAGAAAAGGTTCCATTTTTATATACAATCTTGGTGTTTGGTTTTGGTATCTTCATTGCAATAATGTCGTATACCATCTGTGCTCCAATTATGACCATGAATTCTTCTTGGGTTGCAGATGGCGGAATTAAGCCGCAATATCCGTGACATGAAGTCGATTCTCTATGGAAACAGTGAAGCCGAGCCTGTCGCTGAGGCTTGTGCGCAGTTGACTCAAGAATTCTTTAAAGAGGATACTCTACGTCTCTTGATTACTTGTCTCCCTAAACTTAACTTGGAGGTAGCTAACATTTCCCCTCTAGGAAAGACAGCATTTTTGAGATTCATTCGATTGCGAAATCGCTTGTTTTTTTTTTGTTATTAGGCTAGGAAAGATGCTACTCAAGTTGTTGCCAATCTACAGAGGCAACAGGTCAATTCACGGTTGATTGCATCTGATTATCTTGAAGCCAACATTGATCTTATGGATGTTTTGATAGAAGGGTGAGTGTTGTGATCCTATTTTAGTGGTCAATTCATGTCATTTTTTATAGCTTTCCATGTTTCATGTCAGCTTCGAGAACACAGACATGGCTTTACACTATGGTGCTATGTTTAGGGAGTGCATCCGTCATCAGATTGTGGCCAAGTGAGCAAATCATTTCATTTTCTTCAGTTTACAATCTGTGAAGTAATTATCGGTTCATAGGTATCCACAAATGGGTTTACTGACATAATTTCTTTGGATTCAGATATGTTTTGGAGTCTGACCATGTGAAGAAATTCTTCGATTACATACAGCTTCCTAATTTCGACATTGCTGCCGATGCTGCTGCTACTTTTAAGGTTCCAAAACACTGCAACAAATTCGCATTTTTGCTTGGATCTTTCCCTGTCTGGGACTATTAAACATTCAATCATAACTCCAAACCTGTAATTTATTTTCACAGGAACTGCTAACAAGGCATAAGTCTACTGTTGCCGAGTTTCTAACCAAGAATGAAGATTGGGTAAGGTTTCTAACAACGCTATAATTCATGCTTGAAGACATAACATTGTGATTTTATACTCTCAAGATCCTGCGTTAGATTAGTATCATCTCAAACTTTTTGGTTTGCAGTTTTTCGCAGACTACAACTCAAAGCTTCTTGAATCAAGTAATTATATAACCAGACGGCAAGCTATTAAGGTAGGGCAACTTATACGAGAATCTAAGACATTAAAATGATGGTAGTGGCTGATCAATCTCATGTACTGTATGGTGTAAATGTTAAACAGTTGTTGGGTGATATATTACTGGATCGATCAAATTCAGCTGTGATGACGAAATATGTGAGCTCAAGGGATAACTTGAGGATTCTCATGAATCTTCTGAGAGTATGATGCTTTACCCTCCTTGATCTTTTTGTTCTTGATTATATTAGTTTGGGAAATATACTCAAATCACTTTGAATTACAGGAGTCAAGCAAGAGTATCCAAATAGAAGCATTCCATGTCTTCAAGGTATAGTTTATCTACATTAAAGAGATGTAACATAATGATGATTGTCACTTGTCAATCCAACATGTATGTACTGAGATTGTCGTCGCTGTTGTACAGCTGTTTGCAGCGAACCAAAACAAGCCTGCAGATATAGTCAACATTCTGGTGGCCAACAGAAGCAAGCTTCTGAGATTGTTAGCTGATTTAAAACCAGACAAAGGTATGGAAGTGATCTTGTTAAATGACACGCTTGTATCTAATCCTTCTCCTCAACCTTAATAATGCTTTGTTTGGTTGGCAGAGGATGAGCGGTTTGAAGCAGACAAAAGTCAGGTTTTGAGAGAAATCGCAGCACTTGAACCTCGAGATCTTGCTTGAACCAACCAATGCAAATCATCCTTCCTTCCCTTTGAAAACACTCGAAAAGACATTTTTGAAGCATCTTGTTGTTTTTTAAATTAGGTAACCAATCTTTCTCTCACTCTCTCTCCACACACAAAACACACACACAAAAGATATTTGTTCGATATATGTATTCATATGTACACTACTTCACTGTCGATGAAATAAAATGGTTTGTCAGAAGTTCACATCGTGAATGTTGTAAAGAGCACAAGAGTTGTTCAACTTCAACAACTATTCAACATCAAATGTATTAATTTAATCTCGCAATATATATATGTATGTAGAGACCCGAAATCAAATCAAAATTAACCAACAGAAAACCCATAATGACCAAATAAGCCAGAAAATTTTACTCTAATCTCTTACACAGCCTGTCTATACGTATAGAGACCGACCATCGTTGCCTACACGCTGACCTGTTTTCGCAGATTCCTCTGCTTTCCCTCTCTTTATGACTACATACCAAGTAAACGCTTCTAGCACAGCCGCGACTATACCTAGTACTACGATTATAGCGGTGTAAGCGTTTCTCCACTGCTTCTCAGGGCTCAAGATGTCTAGTCCTTTAAAAACGTTTACCACCGCAAGGATGATCACGGTGTAGCCTACGGTGTGGTGATAAATGTTCCAGTAGACTCTGTATTTGTGCTCTGGTTTGGGTCTCAGAAACATTGCAAACACCTGACGTACGTGTGACACAAGCAATTTAGTAATTGCAACATGTTCATGACAAATTTAACTCTCTCTCTGTACCGTTAACTATTTACTACCTGAATTGTTGCGAGGCAGAAGAGAGCGATCCCAACAGCACGGTGAAAAGTAAACTGAATCCCGGCTGATTCGCTGCCCAGTTTGAGACCTGTGGCCCAACCGGCAACACCAATGATGTAAGCAGAAGACTGGCAGAAAACATGAAGGTAGAACCAAGCTGGATCTGCTGATTTTGAGACTTTCAAGTAGCGAGCAATGATTGCCCCTATTGGCATCATTATTCCCCAGCTCACACCGTTCAATATTCCATGTATCTGCCATAATGATTAGAAATTAATCCGAGTGTTAAGTTTCTTCAAACCAACTAACAATGATTGGATTAGACCATGGACTCACGTTGCGTTTGCGTAGCTTGGAAGCTCCTCCTCCTCCTCCGGTTGAGGTGGAACCAGATGCACCGGAGACAAGGTTAAGAGTAGAAACAGAGCGAACATTGTTGCCGGAAGTTGGATGAGGCAGAGGATTGTTCCCTGACAGAGACCCATCTTGCCACACAGTATTAATGATTCCACCATTCGCAAGTGGAAGATTCAACGTTGCGTAGATGATCATCTCGTTGTTTTGGTAAGTGGCAGACAACTCAGAGACGTTGAAACTCAGCTCAGCTTCTTGGAGATTCGTTTGGTAGCTGCTGATGGGTGACGTGTAAGCCCTAACGCTGCCGTCTGATTGTGGATAAGCTACAATGGCTTGAGCTCCGACCATGCCAGTGGATGTAGGATTCACTGCCCATGCCACCCATTTCCCGGAGGTGAGTTTTGTGTGGCGATACGCGATTTGGAGATTGCCTGAAGAAGAATCATAAGTGTAGTGGAGGAAGGAATCAAGAACAGAGAGGTCGTTGCAAGACTCAAAGAGACGGTTGGTGGAGAATTTGTAGTTGGAACATTTCTGAGCCAAGGCGGATTCGGTGATGATGAAGATCAAAACAGAGAGGCAGAGGAGAAGATTTGAGGATTTGGCCATGGTAACAGAATCTTGAGTTATATGACTAAAGATGGATGAAGGATGAGATTTACGTATGAAGGGGGAAGAGGGGAATGAGTTAAGTATGAATAGAAAGTGGGACAAGTAGGGTTAGGTTTGTTAGTTAATCTGTCTTAATAAAGAATCTTAATTCTCTTCACACTTTTTCTTTTAATCCTCTGCTTTTCTTGTTCATCTATCAATTGCAATGTTTTACCTTAGAGTAACCAATAGAAGAAACATTATAAATGAAGCGTTCATTATTTTCCCAAGAAGGATTGACGGGTAATGTATTTCTTCCTCTTTAACTCTCTCAAGCAAAAACCAAGAAATAATAGAATGTGAAAGTAAATAAACAAAAGTGGTTATAAATAAATAAAATATATGAAGGGGTCATCTTCACGTTCAAAAACCAGTTCACACCTGCCTGACCAACTTTAATAACTTTACTTACTACAAACTCATTTCTCGTGTGTTTTATTTTTCTTTGTTCTTCATGACATTTCCCTTTTAGTTAGACTATATATAAGCTACATATTAAGTATCAAAGGATTAGTGGTGTAATTCAAGGGAATGACTCTCGCGTGATAAAGAGTAAACAATGCAACTACTAAAGTTGTGCATGTATATATATGCCCTAAGTTTTGTTGTTCTAGCTTATAATTCAGACATATATCCACCACCTTATGAGTTTGGACCGAAGCGGACGAGGCCGAATATCGAGTTTGTGAGAGATTCCAATCCAAGGGAATTGGTTTGGTTTAGCTGTTTAGGGTTAGGTTCTTCGCGACCAATATTTCAACTGCTAACCACGTGGATGTGTAATAATGTCCTTTCTAGGTCAACGCTCCAATTACTACCTGCCACATGTCCCCTACTCTTCTATATGGGCTTTGGATTGTCAAAAAAAAAAACAAAAAGGAGATATTTAGATATATTTTGTAATGAATGAAAAGTATTTGAATTATTAAAAAATCACTAGTTTCATGAAAAACAATTCAAATAGCATAGTTGTTTTAGAGGGAGTTATGATTTGAGTAGCTTTTGTTGATGTTTCAAATATAAATATTTTACTTTGTAAAAAATATGATTGAAATCCATGATATTTGAAAGTTTTTTTTTGTGTTTAATAAATAACAGTGTTAAATATATCTATATCTTTGTAACACTAGAGTGTACATAATTGGTAACTAAATTTTGGACTAACAAGTGATATGTTTTAAGTGAAACAAAAACAAAAAAAAAACCATCAAATCAATGGAAAAATAAATTATAATATACCTACGATTAGGGGTGTCAAAATGGGTCAAGATTCATGGGTCAACTCAACTCAACTCAACCCATTCAACTCAACCCATGAACCCTAATGAGTTGAAATTTTTGACTCAAATGAGTTGATGGATCAAATGAGTTATTGAGTCAAATGGGTTGATGGGTGAAATGAGTTGAGTTGTAATGGGTCAATTGTTTACCCATTTAACCCAACAATTTTTGTTAAATTGAATTAAACCAATCCAAATCTCTAAACTGATTTCAATTTGAGTCTAACCAAAACTTCTAAACCGATTGAATATAATCTTTAATTTTCCCGCCAAAAATATAAATTCGTGATTTTCCCGCCAAAAACGTAAATCCATAATTTTTCCGCCAAAATTTTTTACAATTTTTAACCAAAAATGAGAATGGATAATTTTCTCGCCAAAAACGTTAATCCGTGATTTTCCCGCCAAAAACGTAAATCTGTGATTTTCCCGCCAAAAACATAAATCCGTGATTTTCCCGCCAAAAACGTAAATCCGTGATTTTCCCGCCAAAAACGTAAATCCGTGATTTTCCCGCCAAAAACGTAAATATATGATTTTCCCGCCAAAAACGTAAATCAATGATTTTCCCGCCAAAAAACGTAAATCGGTTATTTTTCGGCCAAAAACATAAATCCGTGATTATTATTATTTTCTTTTTATTGTTAATTTATTTTAATTATTAATTTATTTTAATTATTAATTTATTTATTACATTAATAGGTCAACCGATTTAACCATCTAACCCATCAAATTAAATGAGTTCATGGGTTGACTCAAACTCATTTCGACTCAACCCATAAACTCATTTAACTTCAAATTCATTGGGTAATGAGTTGAGTTGGGTTGGGTTAACTGACACCCTTACCTACGATAATAAAAAGTTTATGGTAAAATAGGGTAAGTGGGTCCATAAGGGCCCAAGATGTTTTATTTTTGCTGAGCCCATTTTACCAATCCAAACCGAAATGGGAAAATTTCCGGTCTCTTTCTCTCTCTCTCTCTATGCCAGAGTAACTCTGCGTGTCTTTGATTTCCCAGAAGAGAAGCGTTGAATCCTTTCGTTTTCCGATTCCATTTTGGGATCTCTTGTTTCGTTTCTTCTCTTTGGATCCATTCCTTCATGTACCCTCCCAATTTCTTAAATCGTTGTTGCTTCTACAAGGTAATTTTGTTTTCCTGTGCAATTCCCGAGATAAAAAAGACAAGGTTTTTCTCCTTATGATTATCCCTGTAAATGTGAGGTTTTTGTTCTATTTTGTCAAATGAGTCTTCTGAATTTGTGATCATCAACGTTTTCTCTGTGTTGTTATGTGTGTGATCTTACATTTGAAGGGATTCTAATGTGATCTCTCATGTAACTTTGGAATTTTGTATTACAATGCTCTGTTTCCTTTAAAGAGTTCTTACAATCTCTCCTCTTTCTCTCTAGCGAAATGGGTTCTTACTTGGGTTTAGTTTCGTAGGTGAAGTTTCGATTTTTGTTGTGAATTGGTGTTTATAAATCGTCTCTGTTACACACGTCTCATCATCTTTTTCACAAGTAATGTGTGGCCTACCTTCATTTTCTAATGGCGTATTTTGAAAATAGATTTTCATATTCAGGCAGATATTATATACCTGCAGCAATCATTAACGCAATTTTCATCTTTTAATGTGAGCCCTGAGGACAAGACTGAGTTTTAAGATTGCACTTTGTGTGATCAAGTGATGACTAGTGTTGGTTGAATTGGGCCCGCGCTTGTCTTTTCTGTCTCAATTCTGTTCCTCCTTATGATAGAGAGAATCTTTCTCTGCTTTCTTATTGGAGGCTTTCATGATTTGTGAATAGTTAGTATCTACCGTCTTTAACTTAGATTCTTAGGGTGAGCTCACAACTAAAGTTGCCTTTACTTGTTGTATATAGGCTTAATGAGCTTGTATAACAAGTTTCTCTAGGAGGTGTTTAAGGGTCAGATCCAGCTTTCAGAAGAGGTAACTTGTATTGCTGTCTTTACTTTGGATCCAGAATGCGTTTATGTGCTGATTCATTTGCTTGTTATTGATTTTCTTAGGGTGGTTGAGAGCTGAAAGTTTTGAAATTTAGTCAACTTTGCTCCACAGAACCTTCTAGGAAGCTACCTCAAGTAGACAGGTGATCTTAAATATTCTTTTATTCTTAGCTCTTAGATCTCAATCTTTCATGTTTCTCAAGTTTCCTTTGCCAACTGTTCTTATACTTGTCTACCCTCTTCCTCACTTTGGCACTTTGTTTTGTCCTTAGCTTTGTTGACAGGCTACAAGCCAGTGGTAAAGATATGTTTCTGTAGAAGGGGTAATCTCGAGCATATAAAGGAGATGGCTTTCTACTCTGAGGATGACAAGAGCGAAGACTACCTCTTTAAGATCGTTCTAATTGGTGATTCTGCTGTGGGGAAATCAAATTTGCTTGCCAGATTTGCGAGGGATGAGTTCTATCCCAATTCAAAGTCGACGATTGGGGTGGAGTTTCAGACACAGAAGATGGATATTAATGGAAAGGAGATCAAAGCACAGATATGGGACACAGCGGGTCAAGAACGTTTCAGAGCAGTCACTTCTGCGTATTACCGAGGTGCAGTAGGAGCTCTTCTGGTTTACGACATCAGCAGACGGCAGACTTTTCACAGCATTGGTAGATGGCTCAACGAGCTACACAGTAAGAAACCACACAGAAAAATACTCTTTTATCTTTTTTTCTTACCTTCTGCTAAACAATCTTCCAATGCAAATGTCTTTGGTATGCTAATTGATTCAAGAATAATGAAACTGAGGGTTGTCTTCATAAAACTGTTGCAGCACACTCTGATATGAATGTTGTGACGATCCTGGTGGGCAACAAGTCGGATCTGAAGGACTTGAGAGAAGTGTCAACAGCGGAAGGGAAGGCATTGGCTGAAGCACAAGGTCTTTTCTTCATGGAGACATCGGCTCTGGACTCATCAAACGTGGCAGCTGCGTTTGAGACGGTTGTGAAGGAGATATACAACATACTGAGCAGGAAAGTGATGAGCTCACAGGAGCTAAACAAACAAGATCCTGCTTCACTCAGCAATGGCAAGAAAGTTGTGATTCCATCAGATGGGCAGGGAGAGTCCAAGAAAGGTGGATGCTGTTCTTCTTGATAGAAACTAAAATTGTAGAGAGCTTAAAAAGGAAGGTTATTATTGATCATCTGTTCGATTGTTTTATTTGGTCCACGCTGACATGAATATTGAAGTTTGAGATGGGTTTGTGTTGTGGTGTGAAGTGTTTAGGGTGTAGTAGCAATCTGTAAATTTTCTATTGCAGAAGCTTTATGAAACTCACACTAGTCTCTCCATAGAGTTTGTTGTTGTTTAACTTGACGAATGCTCATGATGATGAAAGATGATGATGATTAATTAGTCTTCTGTTATTGTCACTTGTTATATGCCAAATCTTTATACATAGATCCTGTTACTAGAAATGATTTGTTCCCTAAGTAAAATATTGTTATTTCAAAGAAGCATTTGTCATCGGGAAGAGGATCAAATCGAGCTGTGGAATTAGATTAATAGAGAAATAAATGTGAGAGATGAAAGTTTTGTGGTGCAGAGATCACACGTGCAGTTGCATGTGAGACAGATTGGCTCTACACATGATTGCATTAATCGCCGTAGTACGGAGGATTCCACACACTATCATCATCATCATTTCAGCTCATTAAACCGGACATTTTCTTGACTATTGTCTTACGTTCTAAACCGGTTTGCATTTGTCTATAGGTTGATTCGGTTCAATGATCTCCGCGAGTCCATTCAAGACCTGAAAACAGGAGAAAGACCATTAACTCTTGAGCATATACAAGTAAAACTGTAAATGAAAAGCTCAAATGCTGTCTAGTCATTTAGCTTCTCTTGTCTCTCTTTACCTTTTTTGTCTCATGGAGTGATATCTCCAACATTTCAATTCTCTAACCACACACACAAATCAGTCAATAGATTCGTTAAACTAAATAAGTAAATATTTGTTCTCATCAATTTCACCTTCTGGGAATCCTTGACAGCAGTTTTCAGGGCAGCATACTTCTCCAATGTAATCATGATCTTGCCTGTACTTTCCTGCATTCCATTTATATATCTGAATCAGCTTTCCAATATTGAATTCAAGAATTCGATTTTCATTTACACAATCTTTTTTTACTTTTTGATTGGCTGGAGCATTTTCTGAGACTTTATCCATACTCTCTGAATCAGCATCTCCGATTGTGGAAGGCTCCTATAAATATCGAACAAATTATCCAAATTGTAGTGTATAGTACTTGATGAAAGTTCAATCATTGGTTATGGTACAAACCTGGATCTTTTTCTTGATGTCTGGATCATTCCAAGGTCCTTCATCGCTAAAAAGACAGCCTCCATGATCTGAACAGGTGCAGTTTCCTCCAAGAAATGTTGGTAAGTTGCTGTTTTTTTGACATCAAACACAAACAATGCTGAGATTCCAACGCAATTCCAAATATACGACCAACTGGTTTAGGAGAGAAAGAAATCTGACAAGGGTTTATACCTTGGATCTATTGCTTCAAGTAGTTCTCCAAGGTAATTGGGTCCTAGCACCTACAACAAACATGATTTTGGTAAAGAAATTTGTGACTAAACCAAAAGCAAGCATCGAGTGGCATATGCTTACTTGAACTTTGGCCAATGTCCGAGCATCTAGAAAGGTCTTGAGTGCAAGCCACAGCATCCGGAATCCAGAACTTGCATTGACAACGAAGAGGCGATGCAAAGTCTAGAGCCAAAACCAATCAGAATTACAAGCATTATTTGTTGATATGAAGCTGCTAGTGAATCAAGCTACCTCAGGGTAGTAGTTGCTGTCTATCTTCTGAATTTCCATGAAGAGAGATCTCGCAGGTTTTGAGAAGTTTGACATTCCCTTTTCAAAAAACAATGGATCAGCTCACAAACAATATGTTGATAAAATTTCATCAACAATATAAAAGGCGGACTGCTTACGATTCCAGAGACATCCAAAATGGTAGTGGTAGACGAAACATGCTTGTCTGCAGCAATAGAACAAGCTGGATATCTGAATCTCAGCGTTTTCTCTTGTTCTTTAATATGATACTTAACATATCTGTCAATGGTGGTTGCTTTAAGAAACGCGGTCAGGTCAGCCATCCCGAGTCTCTCAATGTAAATTGGCCTACCAGTTTTGTCAACCTTATGAAACCCATGAGGGTAATGCTTCTTCACTTCACCATATTCCTCAAACTTAAACGTCTGTCAGACATTTCGTCGAACACGTTGTGAGTATGCTGATCTTAACGAAAAATAAACCGAAAGGTCTCGCATTTTTTCTTACCTGAGAGATGAAATCCACTTTAGAATCCACTCGCCACTTGATATAATTGAGAAACGCATCTTTGGATTTCTCCAGATCAAAATCTCTCATTTTTAGAAACCTTGTATGACAAAATGAAACATTTTGAGAAGAAAAACCAATCAAACTTTAGGGTGATAATGATGATTACCTGCGAAGTGTATTATGATCTCCGTGCTTGGAAGGTAAGTGGCCATGGAGGAGAAGCAATTTACGAAACGCTTCAACCATATCTTCATTATTATTTGGCAGAGAATCAGAGATGTGTATATCTCTGTCTGTTTCTTGCATCATCATCTGCAATGATCGATCATTCATGGGGCTCTGTTTCTAAAGAAGAAGAAGAAGAAGAAGAAGAATTTATGAAATACATGGTGCATTGGAATTGAACTAGTGAGGAAGAAAAGAAAACTTGTGAGAGATAATCGAATAATTGGTTTCTCTCCGCGCGGGAAAAGTTAGGCGAATAACGGTCTTTTTGTGTTATTAATTCTTGCTTTACGTCGTCGTTTCTGTTTGCTTTGAAACAAGGTGGGCCTCAAGGATGGTTATACATTTACATTTCTCTAAAAATTAGTTTTTTTTTTAATCAACTGATCTTCATTGATATACGAGAAAATAAAAAAAAATTAAACCAAAAAAGTATTCATTTACATATCTTAACTCTATACATAAAATAAGATTTTTTAAAAAAGCAAATTTATATATATCAGATATTTTAATTAATAGAGACATTTTTAAAAGGTACAATGCTCACAAATATCACAAATTTAAGTTTTGTTACCAAATTTAGCACACAATCTCCAAAGTTTCAAAAATAACACAAACTTAATATTCCCTCCGTTTCATAAAGCGTGTCGTTTTAAGGTTTTATTTTTGTTTCACAAAGAGTGTCGTTTTAGGTTTTCAATGCAAAATTTAATAATTTTTTATGTTTTATGACCATTAGTATTCTGCAGATTGTTTTACTATTGGGCATATTATGTTTAGGTATATAGTTAATGATGTTTTTGTTTAGAAAAAACAAAAAAATTAATGTTTTCTTAATCTGTGTGCAAAACTCTAAAATGACACTCTTTGTGAAACAAAGGGAGTATTTAAAAGACTAATATAAACATTTAATTGACGTTTCATGCTATCATATTATAATCGCTATTTCAAATTGTAATTAATTTTATTATTATACATAATTAGACAAAAGTAAATTAATTTTTTTGTAAATTCACTAACGGTAATTTTGGAAATTTGTGGAATGTATGATACAATTGTCCATAAAGCTTGCTTGCTATTACATGGTATTTCTCTATTTAAAAACACACCTAAAATAAGCTATTAACAAATAAACAAAAAAAAAGGAAAAAATAAGCTTCGGTCCTATTGATATGTGATATGTCCTTTAAAAATAAAACTTTGATAAATATTCATGTAAATCTTCGTATTTATTTTCTTGATTTGTAGTTTACTTATATGTAGACTTTAGAGTTTTATACATGCATATATCCTCGTAAATTTTATTCAAATGTCATTTGGTTTATTCCAATAGGATGAATATTATTAGGTTGTAGACTTGTAGCCCGCATTTGATTAATTTATGTTTTAACTAAAAATTTAAGATCCGTCGAAATAAAGGTAATAACGAACGGGATCGGATATCAAAGGAGTCTATGGTCCCCTTCGGCTTCGGATTTAACCACAAAGGTTTGGAACAATCTCCAACGTTCAAAATATACATCTAGCTATAATAATGCTAGATTGATAAATGATGAGTGCAACTTTTCAAAGGAAGTAGGACCCAAAGGAGGTTCACGTGATGCTTAAGAAGCAGTGTGTCCGCACTATCATAAATTTCACGTCCTTATTTTCTCACCCATTCTTCTTCTTTAATTCCCTCTTTTATATCCCATTTTGCTTTATTGTTTTTAATTTCATTTTTCTCCTCAACACAAGACCGTTTTATTGTCCATATTCCCATTTAACACCGAAGCTATTTTTAAAATTTCAATAGATTGGGTGCATGTGTATATGTATAAATAGAAAACTACGAACGAGGGAGAGAGAGGAGTGGGTTCCTCATGCTACATTGTGGTTAATCAAGCATGCGGTTTTCAAATAAAATTATCAAGATTATGGGCAGTCCCAAGATATATATATATATATATATATATATATATATATATATATATGGTAGCTATAGGCTATGAAAAAACAATTAGTCACACTTAAATAATAAATCATGGGTTCCTATTTATAATTAGTAATGAAGCTACACTATTGGTCGAATCTGAACTAAAGACAAACCCTAAACTCATATAAACCTGAAATATATAGTTAGCCAAACACGTAATTCCAAATAGAAAAAATAAACGACCTAACACGTACGATAATAGGCAGGCTACTTTTTATTATATAAATAAAATATACCAACTCAATTTCTTGGTTTAAACAGTAAAAGCTAATACATACATATGAAGACAAAAACATATATAGATCTTGTTGTGTAATTCTTTGCCTTTGTTGCTATACACTTCACCACAAAAAATATGACCGTTGAGACTGAAACGTAAAAAGGACCACCTTATTACAAGTACATATATAAAACCTATCGATCCTCCATCGTTATTTACTTACTCCGACCGTTTCCTTTCTCACAATCCAATGGCGCAACTTACTAATTCCCTCAATTATCTCTTTTATGTTTCCCTCTTATTATTTGTATCATTCCACTGCTTATGTTTTCGTTTTTCTTTGGTTGCAGCTTGTTCAAACTCCACCGACGATCAACAGATTCAACACCGTCACCACCGGAAATGGGTTGGTCCCTCAGGCCACAAAGTCATCACCGTCTCAATTAACGGCCACGCTCGCTTTCGCTCCGTCCAAGACGCTGTCGACTCCATACCAAAGAACAATAACATGAGCATCACTATCAAGATTGCTCCCGGATTTTACAGGTAGATATAATCCCCTAATGAATTCTCCTTTTTGTTTTCACCTAGTTCTCCTTTATTTGTCACACTTTTTTTTTTTTTTTTTTTTTGCTTCATGTAAAATCTAATTAACTTTGCATATGAATACATTTTCCAGAGAGAAAGTGGTAGTTCCAGCTACAAAACCGTACATAACGTTCAAAGGAGCGGGTCGGGATGTGACGGCTATAGAGTGGCACGACCGTGCGTCCGACCTTGGCGCTAACGGTCAACAGTTACGTACTTATCAAACCGCTTCCGTCACCGTCTACGCTAATTATTTCACCGCTAGAAACATTAGCTTCACGGTACTCTATTTCTTACGCAAGAAAAAAAGGAAAATTTTATAAAAAATGTGAGTATTTTATATATATTTATTTTGAATTATGAAGAATACTGCGCCGGCTCCATTGCCGGGGATGCAAGGGTGGCAAGCGGTGGCGTTTAGGATCTCCGGTGACAAAGCTTTCTTTTTCGGCTGCGGGTTTTATGGTGCACAAGACACTTTATGCGACGATGCTGGCCGTCATTACTTCAAGGAGTGTTACATTGAAGGCTCTATCGACTTTATCTTTGGTAACGGCCGCTCCATGTATAAAGTAAGAACTTCTAAATAGCACTACAGCATTAATATGAATATATAAATAACTTTTTATAACCAGAATATTCGAGGCGGAAATAGACTATGTTTTGGGACTTGTGAAATATATATACTTATTAATGTGTTGCTTGTTGGTGAAGGATTGTGAGTTGCATTCGATAGCGTCGAGATTCGGGTCGATAGCGGCGCACGGGAGGACATGCCCGGAGGAGAAAACGGGGTTCGCGTTCGTGGGTTGTCGGGTAACAGGTACGGGTCCGTTGTACGTGGGCCGGGCCATGGGACAATACTCACGTATCGTTTACGCCTACACCTACTTTGATGCTCTCGTCGCTCACGGTGGCTGGGACGATTGGGACCACAAATCCAACAAAAGCAAGTGCGTACTACTTAACACAAAATATGTATGATTTGAGTTAATCCGAAGAAATTAATGACTGAGAAAAATGTTGAAAATCATTAGGACGGCGTTTTTCGGAGTGTACAATTGCTATGGGCCGGGAGCTGCAGCAACGAGAGGCGTGTCATGGGCTAGAGCGTTGGACTATGAATCGGCCCATCCGTTTATAGCTAAGAGCTTCGTTAATGGTAGACATTGGATCGCTCCTCGAGACGCTTAACAAACTTCAAACCTTGGCTGGGTTTCTTTTCCTAATTCCTCCTTCGCTCATTATTATTTTTATCATTCGTTTATTTATTTTATTGTTTTATTTTTTTCCCAATTTATTTTTATACATCTACATATACATTTTTACAGTATTTTTTTGCTTTAATTCTTTTGGATCCGGGTTTGACCCGGTTTTAGTCTATTCGGATCTTGGATAAGCAATTTTAAGGATGTTGTCTTAATTTCAAACTAATAAATGAAGCCTTTATTAATTTCAAACTGAAAAAATTTATGGCAATATTAAAACGAAATTAATTCCTTTATTAATTCATATTTGTTAATTTCCTTAACTTCTCCCCACACCTAATTATTAATTTTCTTTAAGAGAATATGCGTATAACAAAACAAATAAGTTACCTATTTTAATGGTAAATAATCTTATTTGTTATATATATATGATATCTCTAAACTAACCATATTTGTTATTTACCTTACTTACTTCTAACCATAATTATCTAACTACTTATTTTTATATAGAAAGAATATGTGATTAAAATAAATATTTTGTAAATATTAATTTGGGGACAAATTCTTACGAAAATAATTTGTTTTGTTATAAAATTTAATGTTTGTTATTTTTCTAAATTATTTTTGAAACTAAATTACATAAATACTAATAATAATTTGTCTACACCATAAAATGAAAATAGTTATTTATTTTAAATTTTTATATAATATTACGTAATTTGTTTTAGTTATATTTTCTGATATAGGTGAACAAATTATTTTCGTATTTATGAAAATTATAAAATCTAAATTAGTTTAAAATTTGAAATAACTATAATCCTAAATTTTAATCTTTATGGGTAGGTTTTTTTTTGTGACCAAAAATATTCAATTGGATCTTTCTTTAAATTTTGGCAATATCCAAAACGAAATTAATTTATAAACTCTAAAAATATCTATATTTTTAACTATTTCTATATCTAAACTCTTTATTTATGACATATATTCTTCACGATTTTTACAGAAAAAGATATAAAATATGATGAGTTAATGCTAATTAACAAATTTGAGCTAATTTTTTACAATCTCTCGACCTAATTTAAACAGAATTATATAATTCTCATTTCACTTTTATTTGATGTTATATTTATATTATTTTAATTTATTATAAAATAAATGTAGTTAATAAATTGGGTATTTTTGATAGAAATAATGATAATCGGATATATGAGTATTTTTGACAGCAAAAATAAGAAACCTTACCGAACTTGTATGGTAACTTCTATGTAAATTATTCAATTTAAAATCGAATATTAAATCAACAAATACAATTCCGAAGTATATGGTAACTTCTTCGTTATTTAGTGAAAAAATTTCGCTAAGATATATAGAATCTTCTAATTATCAGATTAACCATCAAATATTCTCTACGATCTTGAACTATGGAAAGTCATAAAGTTGGTTTACTGCAAAATTATAAAAATCGCGAAAGCGCAAATCAAATATGTTAAGATCTTTAACGATAGAAACTGAAATTAATTTCGTTTAGATATTCTGATGCGATTAACTATAGCATATCTACGCTAATTACTTATAGAATATTTTGCAGAATATGCTTTTCTTAAAACCCTAATAAAGCAACCTAATTCTAAACATTATAAATATAGGCTCTGCTATTCGGCAAATCATTTTTCATTCATCCACACAAACTTCTCTCAGCATCTATGCTTCAGTTTTTGAGCAATCTAATTTTTATTTTTCATTGTGTATTCTCTATTTTCTATTAATGATGTTATGTTTCTACGATTTTAATTCTTTTTTTTTTTGTTTTGATATCTCAGCATCTATGCTTCAGTTTTTGAGCAATCTAATTTTTATTTTCATTGTGTATTCTCTATTTTCTATTAATGATGTAATGTTTCTACGATTTTAATTCTTTTTTTTGTTTTGATATCTGTTTAATACAAACGCGTGCGGCGTGTCTAAGTATATGTTTTCCTAAAAACATAGTATTTTCCTTACCCCTAAAACATTCATTACCAAGATTTCAAAATTCCATTTTACCGTTAAATCATAATTAATATGACAGATTTTTATTGTAAACAATTTATCATTTTTTCATACACTACACAATTTTCTCTACTAAAAATATACAATATTAAAATAAATGTCACAACATGTAAAATTAATATTTCCAGCGGTATACCGCGGGCTCTCAACCTGAAAAAGAAAAATTAATTTTATTATTTAGTAAAATTATAGGCCCGCGGTGTACCGCGGGTTAATTTCTAGTCTATATATACATTTTTGGTGAAGATTTGACCTCAAAAATCCTTTTACAATTTCAATATTGTACATTTAGTCCCTACAAATAAAATCTGAAAAAAATATATGTCTTAATCAAATTTACAAATCAATAAATAAACTAACTAAACATTCCTAATTTTTTTTGTTTACGAGATATATTTAATATATGGAAATCAAATATTTAATTTTAAATACTATTAAACATAATCTCGAGAATATCTAGCAAATGAAAACTACTAAAACAATAAAATCGAAATCAAATCTAAATTAGCATTATATAAATCGAAATTAAATGATTGATTTAGTAAATATAAAAATCGTATATATTTACATAACAAACATATATTTACAAAGTAAATAGTTTCCTATTTTAATGCTACAGATTTTATTGTATTTAACATTTGTTTCCTAAAAAAATTGAACTATATTAATTTGATATCAATCTCAACTAAACGAATTGGAAATATCACATAACTAAACGATTTTATCCTTATTTTTGATCAAGCATCTATGTAGCATATTCTTTTTTTTGTTACGATTTAAAGATTTTCAAAGATATCAAATTCTTGCTCATCAAGATTTTGAATATTCTCTAACCTAAAACCTTACTAACTATCAAAACACTATAAATACTCGCTCATTTCTCCAATCTCTAAACACACAAAAATCTACTTTTTCTCCATAGGTAAGTGATTTGATTGTGGAACCTTAATTTGTCTTAGCTTAGACGGATCAAATTTTTTGATATTAGTATGTTTCTTTAAATCGCCGTTGTTGTTAGCATAATATTTTCGAAGTCAAGCCCGTGTGCTCTAAACAAGACATTCGAGGTTTATAAAGAACCAGCAATTGTCGATTTTTTTGGGGTTTCTATATATTCAAGATGTTAAATTTCTCATTTGGGCTGCTTTGTATGTTGTTTTTTTTGTTTCAGGTTAAAAGTACAGTTCCGTTTAGTGAGCCTTTCACGGTAGATCCTGAGAATCCTCCACCGGAGCAAGACTACAATGAGTATTTCAAGAATCTGAAAGATGGAATCACCGGTAAAGAAGCTTTTGAACAGAGCACTGTGCAGTTTAAACCAGGTTTTATCTACTTTTGTAACTTTGTGTTTGCAGTACTTCATGTATCAACAAGCAACAACAAGTATTGAGATGAATAAAGTTTTTCTCTTCTTTCTCTTTTTTTTTTTCTGTGATGGTATACAGGAAATTGAAGGCTGCTAAAGGTGCTTTCGATACCAGTCTTGACAATGGTATTGATTTTTTCGATACCGCTGAAGTTTATGGTTCCAAGGTAAGAATGACAAATCTGACTACTCTTCCTTCGTATAGTGGTTTGTTTTGAAACTAATTGGAAGCCTCACATTATCTTCTTTTATAGTTTTCTCTGGGTGTTATAAGCTCTGAAACTCTTTTAGGAAGGTACCTTTTCACTGTATTTTGGAAACATGTATATTAGTGTGCTTTGATCCTCATTTCCTCATACATGTTCTTCTTGACTGTCTTTGGTGAGATTTTAAACAGGTTCATCCGTGAGAGAAAAGAGAGATTTTACGGAGCTGAGATTTCAGTTGCAACAAAGTTTGCTGCATTGCCATGGCGATTGGGTCGTGAAAGTGTTATCACTGCCCTTAAAGATTCCCTTTCCCTGCTCGAGCTTTCATATGTAGATCTCTATCAACTCCATTGGTATGTACCCTAATTCATCTTGGAGTAAGCACTCTCTTATATGATTGTAAGAGTTTACTCCAGTTCGTGGAAGCTACAATGTCATATTGGTTCAATTGTGGATTGGACATCTTTACTTCTAATTATCTCTGTTCCTTGCAATGACAAAATCTAATCATTTTTTTTTCTTTTGCTTTGCAGATTTTTACAAGCTACTTGAGGAAGATTAACTTAAACAGAGTCTTACAATCGACATTATGCTTTCCTCTGAATTCCCTGTAAGTTTTTTGGCATGCAATGAAATTTATGTTGGAGTGGCAGGTCTATATGAATTTTTTTGATAGGGGCACACTGTTTTCAGTGTTTTCCTTATAACCAAACTTTAATTGTTCTGTTTGTGTCAGGTTGTATGATTGAATGGAATTTTCTCAAACTTGAGGTGTGCGTTTGGATTTTCGGTAACCACAAAAATTAAAATCACTTCTTCATTTAGTTCAAGAGAGTTATATTAGTTAGGTTCAAGAGAAACATACATGACGGCGGCGTAAGTGATCGTAACCCTAATCTAAGAAGTAACCACCGTGGATTGTTCACACACGTTTCATTTGCCGAGAGAGAGAGATTTGTGTTTATGATATTTCAAAACTATTGGACTGATTCGGAGAGGCGCTGATTTGTTGGAGTGGAAGGTGAAATCAAGATTAAGCGTGGGTTTGGTTTTTGTTTCATCTTTTATTTGATTTCTTCTAGAGAGATATGTAATATCTATGTAAAAACCGATGAATTAATTAATTTGATACGTATTTGATTATGTTTTTATAAGGAAACTAGGATATGATCCGCGGTACACCGCGGGTTCATGTTTTTTTTAATATAAAAAAATAAGTTTATACTTAAAAATTGTATTATTTACTAAATTTGTATTTTGCATAGTATGCAAATTTTTAAATTTGTTTCGTTTTGTAAAATAATATAGGATATTTAGAAGGTTCGTGTATTTTTATTTGTTTGTTGTATATACAAATTAATTATTTTTGTTTGGAATTTGATCACATATACGTTATTACATGAAATTTAGCTCATAATATTTTTGTTTGTTTTATGTGGTATAGATATATTATTGTTTGTCGTATTTACATTGCTATTATGTGAGATATTCTCATATTATACTCCCTCCGTTTCATAATATAAGTCTTTTTGGAGAAAAAATTTTGTTTCATAATATAAGTCGTTTTTAAGTTTATATGCACTTTATATATTACTTTAATATTTTATAATTATTTATATTATGCAGTATCTTTTATGATTGGCTGAACTTTTTAAAAGTAAATCTTCTTAATCTGCGTGCTTAAAACTAAAACGACTTATATTATGAAACGGAGGGAGTAAAATTGTTCTTTTCATTTATACAGCAATATAAATACACTTATTTGTATGAAATATGAAACAACAAATAAATACAATAAATCTTAAAAGATATAATTCAAACAGAATTTTGCACAAAGTATTTTATATTCTTTACACAAAAAAATATAAGATATCATATTTCAATATTTATAACAATAAACAAAATTTACAAACCAACACAAGTATTTGCACATATATATAAAATACTTACACACTTTTAAAACTATTTAAATATAAAACAAACACCATAAGATGATACATAATTTACACACGCGGTACATTGTTGCTTACTTAATTGTCATCTCATTTTTCTGTAGAATTAGAATTAGTCAAACATACAACATCCTTATTATACAATAAACACTATATAAAATTCTATATATACATTCTAATTACACATGTAAATAGGTTATATACATATATTTGTTATATGTAACAAAAATTAAAAAAAAATCCAAACAAAAGTATATAATTTTTGAAATAAAAATATCGTCCCGCGGTGTACCGCAGGTCAATCCCTAGTTGTGTGATACAAAGTATATTGCTTCTTCTTTACCTGTGTCCATTTCAGTTAAACGTTTTGAGGTTATTATTTGCATACAAAGTATATTAAAAAAAAAATGAGTAAAGAAAAACGAATGTGTATACTTTGTATGTAACCTTTGCTATAAATATAACTTAAATTATCACCTTTTTTCTTATCATCTATATGTATGTGTATCTTACAAAAAGAATATAACATTTTATTTGGCTGGAAAATTCAACTAGTTTCATACTGAAAAAATTGGCTTAGCAGAGAGTAAATACAAGATGTGTTCAACTTCCGACTTCTCTGTTGTGACATAGATAGAAAGAATTAATGAATAAGAAAAAACAATACATGAAAAATTGGTCAGCTTTGACCTTATTATATATTTTAGCGAAAGGTACAGTTTTGCAACTCTCTCCCAACTTTTGGTTCCATTCTCAAAACCCAAATGAAGCAAAGAATCATCTATACAAACTGCAATTATATATTGCCTGCCCCTATCACTCAAGAAGACGGCGTAAATCCAAGCTCCATCTCTGTGTGACTTTCCTACCTGTGACAATCAATAACCAAAAACTTTGTGAAATATTTTTTCAGTTCCTGGTGACTTAGAGTTCCACTTCCTGAAGCTCCTCTCCTAAGCTGCTGCTGCTACTGTTGAGTAGGATTGGTTTGAAGGTTGATGGACTGGTCGGAGGCGTAAACGAGGTGTTGAAGTTTCCACTCCATGAAGCTGTTCTTCTGGAAGCAGGAGGCTGATGATGATCCCCATTGACGCTAATCCCCAATCCATTTCTTTGGATGTTATCCATACTTGGATATCTCTGCATCATCATTGGTGGTGGAGCCCCTGAAGAGGCTACTACTTCATCTGCCGAAATCTCCTCCTGTCTGGATTCAGCAGCAGCCGGTTCCATTGCCTGGTCGTTTGAAAACGATGCAGGTGCTGCGGGAACAAAGAACTTTGCTTTTGCCGGGATTGGTGGTTTTGCAGTTTGTACGGAAGGTGACTGATACATGGTCTGAGAGTTTCCACGGCCTAAATTATAGGTGTCAACGTATCTGCCCAAAAAGAGAGTAAAGTGATTAGCTTTAAGCATGCATATTATCTTCAGTAAACTGCAAACAATTTCACTTGAAATTTTTTTACAACTCACAGCTGGAAAAAACAACTACAATCATGAAAAACTCAGGCCTATTTCATACTGAATGTTTCATCTTTATATCTGTCCTGGTAGTAAACCAAGTGTGGCTTATATTCCCTCCTTAACGCAATTTTAATGTGACGGTACAATTGCGCTCATGATTTATAATCCAGGATAGTCTCCACAGATTATAATTCTCACATGCCTCAAGTTATTTGTTTACCTTGCCCGCACACCCGTACGCCCACGAGCTGAGAATTGATTCGAACCGTGTGAGATTGGTGGGATTCCTGAAGAATTCTCTGATGGAGTTGGGCCGCCAGAACTCGAGTTCCCATTAGATGGATTGTTTTCATAACCAAGTGAGTTGTTTTGGAATGCGCCTATTGTTGGAGGAGGAGGCAGTGCAGCTTCCTCAGCTGGGGGTTCCACACCTCTTTCCACCCATCTCTTTAGTTTGTCATCATAGTAGAACTGATTTTCTGCGCCCAATTTTGCCTTGACCCGAAGTACAAACCGAAACAATTAGAATAAGTTCAAGAGATATCATCACAACCAAAGCATTTAGCAGTGTACCTCTTTGGATGACCGATTTAAGACCCTCCCTACAGTGTCCTTCAGCATGCTAAAACCAAAGCGACTAAACCGCGAACCTGCCACTGTCCCAGATGATTTCAACTTTGTCACCCCATCAACTGCCTTTTCTTTTGAGGAGTCAGCCATATCCTAGAAAAAAGGAAACCTTTTATAAATTTCATATTTTCAAATATTCTTAGCGGTGATAATGGTTTTTTGGTATAGACCTGTATTGGCGTCCTACCGAAATCTGGCTCTGATACACTTCTAGTATGTACTGCCATTCTCCTCCCACTCCCACCCGACTCATGTATGGGCTCCATTGAAGCAGGTGGCATCAATGATGACATTGTATTAACCGATTGACTATATGCTAACTTAGTGGCTTCCTGCAGTTGATGTTGATACTCATTTCCCTGTAGGTTTCCTTTGGTTGAATGTGGTGCAGGTGGTGGCATGCCCCCAACAGGACGATGTGCTTTACTACCAAAAAAGTTTAGCAGTACTCCAACAAGTTTTTCTGTGTGTAAATTCGCTGTATACCCGCCCTGAAATGGTTAAGTTGCATCATTAGAGAAAAGAACAAGCTTTAGATTGTTCCCAGTTTTATGGATGTCCATAAGGCTGATTTTACATTTCCATTTGGAGGAATAGACATCTAACAGATGTAAACCAAATGGAAAAATCTATTGGTAGATACGGATTGGAACCAGAAGTTGTACCTGTTGGTGGATGCGGATTCTCTCTTCAAGAGATGAAACAAACTGTTTCCACATTTCCACTTCTGGTGATCGGCCTGTCTTGAGGCATTTTAATACTGCTTGACAGTACCTGTATCAGCCACAGCACAAACGACATCAGGAAGCCATTATACAGTCTAACAAAGGAGTAGGTGGTGGAAAGTGAATCTCCTTACTTCAGTGCAGTCGAAAGTTTACCAACTTCAGCCAGCATATGGGCATACATGACTTTATATGGTTGAAACGGTAACAGGGTATACTGAGAGTTTCCCAGCGTCTTAGAGTATTCATATAACTCTGTTCTCTGCCCATGCAAAGATCAATCGACAAATAAAAAAATTATCAGAAGATTAACAAAAGAATGGTGTCATCCAAGTATTTCGTTGTAATATCTATGCAATACATATTTGAGGAACATGGAGGGTATTTATGATATGCTCAAAACAGAATCGTCCGGCTAGTATGATGATAACTAAAAACCAGAATGATAAAAAAAAAAAAAATCACCTGTATAGCCTCTGGACTTGCATATGTTCGAGGATATTTCCAGTGATCCGCTCCAACAAGGCAGAGTCTGGCAGTATCTGAGTATGGATCAAAGTTCTTGTCCGCAATTAAATAGCAAATATGAGCTGCAATTATCTGATTCATAACAGTAGTTCAAGTGTCATGATAAAGTTTCATAAAGTAAAAAACACAACAAGGCAGAGAACCACCTCGCCCCTTTCTTTCCACATGCAATCTCCAAGATGAGTAATTACAAGCTCATCATCTGTGGTTCTGTTCGCAGTTATTATACCCAAATTCTCTTCCCAACTGTCAAGCATGCTACTACTTCCAAACTGCAATTCAGGGAAACACTAAGACATTATTAATAAGCTCCCATGGCAGAGCTGCATAAGAAAATATGCCCTTTGGAATGGAAGAGCGATCTAGTTCCCTATGGTAGAGAAAATATTTTTCGTCTTGCAGTGTCTTCTCACTGTTTATATGGTTCCCGACTTTAATCATAGTAATTGATATTTAGCAATGATTGGGAGGAGATTGATTGATTAGATTGTGTGTTTTCTTACTTTGGATTTTGGGGTCCACCTATTTAGTATTTAATAAGCTCTTAAAGAGCAGTAAGGGGTATGTTTTTATCGAACTCTTCGAAGGAACAAGAGAGTTTACCGTTGTAATCTCTATATCTTTTGGCAACACGTTTCTAAATTTCCTTTTTACTCTTTAATCTACCATATTGTCTTACTGAGACGAAATAGATGGTTTATGTCTTACCTGAGGTTGCTGTGGAGGCACATTTATGGAACCAGGAAAAGAGATATCGCTTGTACTTCCAGTGGAAAACACTTCAGCTGGTTGCCCTGCAACCAGCAGGCACAGTGTCCGTAAAGGTGACCCGGGTACCAGCTGGCGAAGGGCCATTTGTTTCACAGTGTCAATATAAAACTGCATCAATTAAGACATCGACCAAGTCAGTCAACCAAGCACTACAGTGCAATGTTTAGTTCTATAGCAATCAAGGGAAACAAACCTGCTGCCCAAGTTGTGCTGCGATAACAAGCGCTGGTCCCCATAAATGACCTTCTTGTGCACATTGGAGAGCCTCCATCTTCCTGCCAGAAGCCAGAAGATTCTGCACCTCTGAAGCAGTTACCTGGACAATTCTTCCAAATGAGTTAATAAGCAAAACCAAACCATGTTAATTATAGAAACATTCTCCTAGAAAGATAAATACAAGATATGATGTCAAATACTCACTTGCATTTGTGATTCCGGTGGTAAATGCTGTAAACATTGGCTAATAGGAGCATAACCATTTTGTACGCCATCTTTCTTGGCAAATGCAAAAAGCTTAGCGACTGCTGCTTCAGCAGAGTCCATTTCCTGTTTGCAGTGTATATACAAGAATGAGAAAATTGTAATACATACCAATGTTTCTTTAAAAAAAGAAGTGACAAGACATCTCATGGATTGCTCACCTTTTGCGATGCATCAGTACCAAAAGGAGAACGGAGTTTCCCATAATACTGACAAGATATTCTGAGCAAAGAAAGAAGCATCTTTAAAAGTTTCCCTCTTGAAAATTCCATATACGAAGATTCACAATTCAAAATTTTCTCATCAAGCCACTTATGTAAGTCTTTACTTCCAACATTTCCTCCAACCAAGGGTCCTGGAAGAGATTGTTGATCCAGACAACTGAAGTAACTCAAAGAGTTTTCCCCGAGACTTGAATAAGAGGCACTCCCAGAAATAACTTCTGCCAAGTTTAAGACAGAGATGGAGCTTCCCCCAGTTCCCTTCTGAGTCGGATAGAAAAAGGTTAGTAGTGAAAACAATTTCATAATTTACTTTATTATGTTATAATTAGAGAATATCTTTCATGCAAGTTCTCCGATAAGCATAATATAAGAAAAAATAAGTGAGTTCATAATCCCAGAGTGTAATTAAGCTAATGAAAAATACCACTTCATTACCTGACTTCCAAATGATAAATTCTGGAGAGAACCATTATCATCCTTCATAAGAATGAGCTTTCCCCCAAATCCAAAATTGACAAGTGCATGTGGTGGCCGCCCATCAGATGATCTTCCTGCACTTGGGGAGGCAAGCTGATTGCTCTGAAATGACTGTGGAGCATCATCTACAGATTCCTGTCTACTATAAAAATCGTTCGAGAAACTCATAGCTCCATTCTGCGTGACACTAGCCACATTCATATGCTGAGGGATGAAGCTCTGAACACCACTCTCATATGGCTTAAACTGTTCAGCCACATGTCCTGTACTGTACAGATTATTTACTTGCTGGTTTCCTGCGAAGTTTGATAATGAGGCAGGAGTTACAGCCGCCTCAGCCTTACCTGCATTTTCTGGTTGCCAAATGTTTGTAGCCTGCTGATTGTTGTCATAGTACGATTGATCCCAACTTCCATGTTGGCTCTGGATATCAAATGATTGCGTTCTGAGTATCTGATTTTTATCGTAAACATCATGTACGTTACTCTCTCTATTATGGTACATAGCTGTAAGAGAATTGCCATTCTGAACTTGCTGATCATTGGCTTGACCAGTTGTTTGAAAAGCCTGGTTGTAGCTGTCAAGAGAGCGCCATTCTTGAGCAATTGTGTCATAGTACCATCCCGGATACTGGGAGTCAAAGACCATGTGTTCTGGATACCCATTGCTTACTTGTGAAGCCTGGTTCCAAGTAGACACATTCTCAACTGTGCCAGCCACTGCAGATGCTGTACTCTGTCTCTGATAAGCAACATCCGAGTAATTAGCAGCAACGTTTTCCCAGTTACTCGTTGAGTTTTCATAGCTCTCCTGTGAATTCATGCTTGCATCATGACCATCAACTTGATACCACTGGCCAGTACTTGCATCATATTTCCATCCAGGATAGAGATTTTCCCAAGACTGACTGTTATCCACGTACTGCCTGCTTGCAGAATCGTGGTGCACTTGACCCTGGTGTTGCTCAAACCCTGCCGAATTATCAAAACCAACACTTGTGTTATTTGTATGATTGGCTACTAAGTTTCCTCCAGTGGCCACAGCTACATCCGCCTTTCCCTGCAAATTTCCTGCAGTTCCATCCAACTCAGTGAAGAAATCAGAGCATGAACCAAACCCACGACCGTCATTTACAGATAAATCTGCATCAAAAGAACCCCAATCTAGCTCCTTAACCCCAGGAATCCCGGGCTCGTTAGCCATGGTGCATTCTTTTGCTGTTTCAGATAGTGGCATATCAGCTACCTCTGATCTCATTTCATCATCTCTTAATTCCTTTGCATCACCATGGAGAGATTGAAGAGCTTCCGGAGCAATAGAAGAAGGCTCGTCTTTTCCCACCGAACCACTTGCAACATCGTTCCCTAAAGCTGCTTCATTCAATGTGCCATCTACTTCACCCAAAGGATCTTTAGCAATGGAGAGATTCGAAAAAGCTCTGGAATCATCGGAGTCACTTTCGTCGTCAAACTTGAGCTCCGTCACAGAGGATGAAGCCTGAGCTTCGCCGGGAGAAAAAGCATCATCAACAAGCTTGTCGAAGAAATCCTCATCCGTTTGATCCTCCAGCAGGAATTGAGAAGACGAAGCCATGAATCAAAATCGGAATGAAAATAACCCTAATCTAATCTCCAACAAAATCGCCGTGAGAGGTGACAAAGAAGATCAAAAGCCAAAGGAAGAAGTTCTATAAAACGCAGCGATCAAGCGGAGCATGATGCCATAGACTCCGATCCAACAAAACCTAGAATTTGCTATTCGAAGCTTTTCTATCTCAAGTTCTCAACCTTCAACGTCATTCTCACGAACTGCTTCGCACAAAATTATCATCCGATATGATTCAAATTAACATGGAGCATGGTTGGGCGATCTGTTCGAAGGGATCATCAAAATGCGAGGATCTATGTCTAAGGAACTTACAAAAAATTTCCGATATCTCGTATCTACCCAATGAAGGAGACAAAACCAGGAGCGTCTCCGGCGATAATGGCTACGTTTCTTTGTGACGACAGCTTCATGGCTAGCTACGTCAGGTACGGTTTGATTCCAATTTCCTTGTTGGGATTCTACAAAAGAATCGGCTCGCTGAAAGATGCTCCCAAGGTGTTTGACGAAATGCCTGATCCAGATTTGATATAATCACGCAAGGAAGAAGACATTGAAATTCTGGTTTTTTACGTTGGAGGAACAAGGAAGAGAGACTCTCTCTGTTTCTAAAGCTCCACAGATCTGATAAATCCAACGGTCACCATTGGATCGCTCCTCAAGATGCTTTAACCCAACCGGTTCTTCATCCGTTAATTAAATTAATTATATTTAGATCGGACAAATTAATAATAATATATTCAATAAAAAAAACACGAATTATCGGCCCAATTATTATTAATGGCCAGCCCACATAAAACAAAAACCAAATAAATAGGCACATGCCGATTACCAGCGGTGCGTTTCCGGTCCAAAGCGCGCACTGAGCCACATTTTCGGACACTAATGTTTTCTTTTTCCTTACCAAAAAAAAAAAAAAAATGTTTTCTTTAAAAAAAATTAAAATTGTGATGGAAATGAGAATCGAATCTAATTGACATTTGCTACACATGGTGAACAAATTTGATTATCACTCATAAACGAAATATTAATGTGCATTATTGTGTAATTCCTCAAGTCTGTTAACAAAGAAAAATTAATGAATTTATATTTAGAAAAAAAAAAGAAAAAAAAATTACAAACGGCATAATACATATTTGCCCCCGTCGTTGACAGAAGCAGAGTAAGTGTTTTATGTAATTTTGGGTAACTCATGGATTCACATTTGATTGATTGATCGATCTAACCTGTTGTTGTTGTGACAGTGAGCAAAACTTTTTGTTGTTGTTGTTGTGATATTACAGATTTTTCAACTTACAGTTCCACTTCCTGAAGCTCCTCTCCTAAGCTGCTGCTGCTACTGTTCAGTGGGCTTGGTTTGAATGTTGATGCACTCGTTGGAGACATAAACGACGAGCTGTTGACGCTTCCGCTCCATGAAGCTGTTCTTCTTGATCCTGACGGAGGAAGATCACCATTAAGGCTTATTCCTGATCCACTTCTTTTGATGTTGTCTAGACTTGGAAATCTCTGCATTGCCATTGGAGATGGTGTCGGGGACTGGAATGAAGACTGGCTTGGTCCTGGAGCGCCTGCAGACCCTACTACCCCTTCATCTGCTGAGTTCTCCTGTCTGGTTTCATCACTAACTGATTCCATTACCTGGTCGTTTGCAAACAATGCCGGTGCTGCTGGGACGAAGAATTTTGCTTTTGCAGGAATCGGTGGTTTAGCAGATTGTACGGGAGGTGACTGATACATGCTCGAGGAGTTTCCACGGCCTTGATTAAAGGTGTCAACGTATCTGCCCCAAAAGAGAGTAAAATGATTACTTCTACGCAAGCACATTATCTACAGTAAAACACTAACAAGGGAACATTATATCCAGCCGCTTTTTGATAATGATCAGAGAACTTATAACTAACAGTTGCACAACCGTACACTACCCCATCAGAAAAAAAATGCCCATCTCACACCGAAAGCTCTTCTGTACCAGCAAATCAATGGTGGCTTATATTCCCTCCTTATTGCCATTCTAACTAAGGATCCACGATAGTCTCCACAGATTATAATTTTAACGTGGTTTGTTTACCTTGCACGCACACCCATACGTCCACGAGCTGAGAATTGGTTTGAGCCCTGTGATACTGGTGGGATTCCCGAAGAATTCTCTGACGGAGTTGGGCTGCCACTACTCCAGCTCCCACTAGATGGAGACATCTCGTTCTTCATGTCAGATTTGTTTTCATAACCCAATGAGTTGCTTCGGAATGCGCCTAACGTTGGAGGAGGAGGTAGTGCAGCTTCCTCAGCTGGGGGTTCCACACCTCTTTCCACCCATCTCTTTAGATTATCGTCATAGTAGAATTGATTCTCGTCACCCAGTTTTGCCTTCACCCAAAGCATGACTCAAAACAATTAGTATAAGTTCAAGAAGACTCATCACGACCTTAAGATTTAGCAAGGTGCACCTCTTTAGCTGAACGAGATGGTAAGACCCTCTTCAGTATTCCAATACCAAAGCGGCTAAACCGAGAACTTGGCACACTACGAGTTGCTTTCACCTGTGTCACCTCATCAGCAGCTTTGTCTTTTGAGGAGTCAGTCTGATCCTACAGAAAAAGGCAAAAACATATCAGCAATAAGCAATGGTTTTCTAAACATGTATTGGTTAGTGTAGTTAGAAAGCCTCCTTAGGATTACTCGATCCAGTGATTTAACCGAGGGTGGGGTGGCGGGATAGGGGAAATAGCATGATGAGGGAGCTACTTACCCGCAGGGTTAATCAAGAAATACAGCAAACAAGACATCTGTTGCTAATAAAAATGAAGAAAAAGAAATGGTTTTCTAGTGATATAGACCTGTATTGGCGTCCTACCGAAATCTGGCTCTGATACACTTCTAGAATGTACTGCCATTGTCCTCCCGTTCCCACCCAACTCACGCACGGGTTCAATTGAAGAAGCAGGTGGCATCAATGATGACATTGTATTAGCCGATTGACTATATGATAACTTAGCTGCTTCCTGCTGTTGATGTTGATAGTCATTTACCTGCAGGTTTCCGGTTGTTGGATGTGGTGCAGGTGGTGGCATCCCCCCAACAACACGAGATGCTGTAGTATCAATAAAGTTCAGGAACTTTCCAACAAGTTTTGCTGGGGCCATATTCGCAGTATACCCGCCCTGAAATAGAAATGTCCGATCAGTCGGATCATAACTAAAAAGAAGCTTTACGTGGTTCCCGTTTTATGGATGTCATATCTTTAATCAAAGTACAACTCACAGATGTAAATACTTTTCACTGTTGCATTTTTTTTCCTGGAAACTTCCCCATTTCCATTTAAAGGAAAAGACAGCTAACAGATGTAAACCCACCCAAAATATCAACTGTTCCATGTAACCAGAAGTTGTGTAAGTTGTACCTGTTGGTGGATACGGATTCTCTCTTCAAGAGATGAAACAAACTGTTTCCACATTTCCACTTCTGGTGATCGGCCTGTCTTGAGGCATTTTAATACTGCTTGACAGTACCTGATTCAGCCACAGCACAAACAACATCAGGAAGCCATTATACAGTCTAACAAAGGAGTAGATGATGGAAACTGAATCTCCTTACTTCAGCGCAGTCGAAAGTTTACCAACTTCAGCCAGCATATGGGCATATATGATTTTATATGGTTGAAACGGTAACAGGATATACTGAGAATTTCCCAGCGTCTTAGAGTATTCATATAACTCTGTCCTCTGCCCATGCAAAGATCAACCGACAAATCAAGGGAATATCAAACAAGTAAGAAAAAGAATGGTATCCTCCATGAATTTCGTTGGGGATTCTATACAACACATTTGAGAAACATGGAGGGTATTCATAAAGAGGCTCAAAATAGAATCTTCCATCTACAGTATTATGATAACTAAAACACAGTGATGAAAAATTCACCTGTATAGCCTCTGGACTTGCGTATGTTCGAGGACATTTCCAATGGTCCGCTCCGACAAGGCAGAGTCTGGCGCTTTCTGAGTATGGATCAAAGTTCTTGTCCGCGATTAAATAGCAAATATGCGCCGCAATTATCTGATTCATAACAGTAGTTCAAATGTCATGATAAAATCTTCCATGAAGTAAAACAATACAACAAGTCAGAGAACCACCTCGCCCCTATCTTTCCACATGCGATCTCCAAGATGAGTAATCACAAGCTCATCATCTGTGGTTCTGTTAGCAGTTATTATACCCAAATTCTCTTCCCAATTGTCAAGCATGCTACTACTTCCAGCGGGACACACTTCAGCTGGTTGTCCTGCAACCAGTAGGCACAATGTCCGTAAAGGTGACCCTGGTATCAGCTGGCGAAGGGCCATTTGTTTCACAGTGTCTACATAGAACTGCAATTTAGGATATCACCAAGTCAGTCAACCAAGCAATACAGTGGAATGTTTAATTCTATAGCAATCAAGGGAAAAGAACCTGATCCCCAAGTTGTGCCGCGATAATAAGCGCTATCCCCCATAAATGGCCTTCTTGTGCACATTGTAGAGCCTCCATTTTTCTACCAGAAGCCAGAAGATTCTGAACCTCTGAAGCAGTTACCTGGGGAATTCTTCCTCGAGTTAATCAGGAAAAACAAATCGTCCTCGAAAGAGTATAAGGAATTTGATGTCCAATACTCACTTGCATTTGTGATTCAGGTGGTAAATGCTGCAAGCATTGGCTAATAGGAGCATAACCATTTTGTAAGCCATCTTTCTTTGCAAATGCAAAAAGCTTAGCGACTGCTGCTTCAGCAGAGTCCGTTTCCTGTTTGCAGTGTATATACAAGAATGAGAAAATTGTAATACATATCAATGTTTCTTAAAAAAAAGAAGTGACAAGACATCTCATGGATTGCTCACCTTTTGCGATGCATCAGTACCAAAAGGAGAACGGAGTTTCCCATAATACTGACAAGATATTCGGAGTAAAGAAAGAAGCATCTTTAAGAGTTTCCCTCTTGAAAAATCCATATAGGAAGATTCACAATTCAAAATTCTCTCATCAATCCACTTGTGCAACTCTTTACTTCCAACATTTCCTCCTACCAAAGGACCTGGAAGAGATTGTTGATGCAGGCAACGAAAGTAGCTCAAAGAGTCTTCCCCTTGACTGGAATAAGAGGAACTCCCAGAAATAACTTCTGCCAAGTTTAAGACAGAGGCGGAGCTTCCCCCAATTCCCTTTTCATCAGATAGAGATATATCAGCAGTTAAACCAGAAATAAATTTCACTTATTGAGGTTATAATTGGACAACATATTTCATACATGTTCAATGATAAGCAAAGAAAATTAGTGATAGCTCTACAGTAGTTTCATAAACTTCCCAGGGTGTAAAATAAACTAATGAAAATTCACACTTAAGGACTAACCTGACTTCCAAATGATGAATTCTGCAGAGAACCATTTATATCCTTCATAAGAATGAGCTTCCCACCAAATCCAAAACTGACAAGCGCATGTGGTGGACGACCATCAGATGATCTTCCCGCACTTGGGGAGAAAAGCTGATTGTTCTGAAAAGACTGATGAGCATCATCTACAGATTGCTGTCTATTATAGACACCGTTTGAGAAACTCAATGGTCCATTCTGTGTGACAGTAGCCACATTCATATGCTGCGGGATGAAGCTCTGCGCTCCAATCGCATTTGGCTTAAACTGTTCAGCCACAGGTTCTGTACTGTACAAATTATTTACATGCTGGTTTCCTCTGAAGCTTGATAATGAATTAGAATTTATAGCAGGCTCAGCCTGACCTACATTTACTGATTGCCAAGTGTTTGCAGCCTGCTGATTGTTGGCATAGTAAGATTGGTCCCAACTTCCGTGTTGGCTCTGCATAGCATATTCTTGCGCTTTGAAACTCTGGTTTTTGTCGTTAACATCATACATACTACTCTGGCTATTACTGTGATACGTAGCTGTATGAGCATGACCATTCTGAACTTGCTGATCATGAGCTTGACCAGTTACAGTTGTTTGAGAAGCCTGGTTGTAGCTGTCCAGAGAGCGCCACTCTTGAGCAATTGTATCATAGTACCATCCAGGATACTGAGCGTCAAAGACCATGTGTTCCGGATATCCATTCCCCACTTGTGAAACCTGGTTCCAAGTAGACACACTCTCGGCTGTGCCAGCCGCTGCAGATGTTGTACTCTGCTTCAGATAAGCAACATCTGAGATATCAGCAGCAACGCTTTCCCAGTTACTTGTAGAGTTTGTATAGCTCTCCTGTGAATTCACGCTTGCATCATGACCATCAACTTGATACCATTGACCAGTACTTGCATCATATTTCCACCCAGGATAGAGATTTTCCCAAGATTGACTATTATCCACATACTGCCCGCTTCCAGAATCGTGGTGCACTTGACCATGGTGTTGCTCAAACCCTGCCGAATTATCTAAACCAACACTTGTTGCATTGGCTACTAAGTTGCCTCCAGTGGCCACAGCTACCTCGGCCTGTCCCTGTAAATCCCCTGCAGTTCCATCCAACTCAGTGAAGAAATCAGAGTATGAACCAAACCCACGACCGTCATTTACAGATGAATCGGCATAAAAGGAGCCCCAACCAACCTCCTTAACCCCAGGACTCCCAGATCCATCGACTATATTACTTTCTTTTGCCGTTTCAGTTAGTGGCATATCATCCACCCCCGATCTCACCACATCATCATCATCCCTTAACTTATTTGCATCACTGTTGACAAATTGAAGAGCTTCCGGAGCAATAGATGAAGAAGGCTCTTCTTTTCCCACCGAACCACTAGTACCCTCGTTTGCAACATCGTTTCCAAAACCTGCTTCATTCAATGCGACATCTCCATCACCCACAACATCGTCAACGACGGAGAGATTAGCAAAAGCTCTGGCGTCATCGGAATCACTACCGTCGTCGAATTTGAGCTCCTTAGCAGAGGATGAAGCGGTAGGAGTATAGGAATCATCAACAAGTTTGTCGAAGAAATCCTCGTCCGTTTGATCCTCCAGGAGGAAATCAGCAGTCGAAGCCATCAAAATTGACAACCGAAATCGAAATCGAAATTAAAACCCGAACCCTAAACCCCACAAAATCACAGAAAGAGATCGACGGATCTGCGAAAGCTTCGCGAGAGGATCAATTGCAAAACGAAGTTAAATTAATAGAAGATCAAGATCAAATAGAGTAGAGTAGCATAGACCGATCCAAAATCCAGAAAGGATTCGTCGGTGATTTCCCGGATCTAATCTCCGATCCAAACTCCGATTAGTCGGTGAAATCTTCGAGATCGAATGAGAGAGAGAGACTCTTTGATTTGTTTTTTTGTATTTCCTTTTCCGGATTTACCCTTATATGTTCCACAAGATTAATCCTTTTTTTTTTTTTGCTTTATTTTGGTAACATAATAACTACTGAGTATTGACCGTATTATTTAATTAAAAATAATTTTATGCCCAAAAAACATTATACCTGTTTATAACGTTTTACCAAAAAATATATAAAGAATACAATGTACAGATGTTTTTTTTGAATGAATGTAAAAATATATTCAACCAAAAAGACATGTGTACAATGAATGCATCTGTTTTTTGAAAAGTTAGATAGAAAACATTAAAGGCAGAGTAGAGAGTTTAGAGAGGTGTCGAAGTCTTGTTTATGAAGTTGGTCGCGTAGAGAACCACAGACTTAGGCCATCACTATATCGATGATCTCCCAAGTCTTTGATAGCGCTGATGCGGTTTCGAACAGTCTTGTCTATGAGTTTGATGAGACGAGTTTTAGGGGATTGAAGTTCTCCATGTCTTCTTGCATTTCTCTCGCGCCATATGTGGTAGAGAGTAGCTTGAAAGACATACCTAAACAAGAAGAGGTTGAGCCGCGGGATGGTTGAGTTGTTGAGCAAAGCAACCAGTTGGGTCCAATCCGTGGAGTAATTGACGTGCAGCAGTCGTTGGGCTAGAGCCTTCCAAATAGCAGCAGCATATGGGCAAGAGAAGAATAAATGATCTCTTGATTCTTCAGTATTTTCACATAAGACACAGTCTACGCGCTGTCCCGAGTTCCATTGTTTAATACGGTCCCCGGTAGCCAATCTGTTGTGAATTGCAAGCCATAAGAGGAATGAATATTTTGGGGTTGAGTAAGAGAACCAAACCCCTTTATACCATTCTACTCTTGGATGCAAAAGCCGAAGCTTGTTCCAAGTGTGCTTTGTCGTAAACGTTTTACTGAATTTATCACCTGAGGATTGCCATAGTGGAATGTCATTTCCTTCTACTCTTGTTCGTTGATAGAGAGCCCGAATCGCAGCTTCAATCTGATTGAGGTTATCAACTCGATGCTTTCTGGTTCGTTGAGACTGTAGCACTTTTCCGACGGTTGCTTCAAGTGGTATGCCCATATCAATGACTCCACGAGGTCCCGTCACGTCAATTAGTCTACCCATTGGTGACCAGTTGTCATACCAGAACGATGTAGAGTGGCCATTGTTAACGTCAACTTTATGCATTGCTCTCGCAACTTCTCTATACTTGAGTAACTTTTTCCACATCCAAGATCCCGCATGAGAATTATCTTTAACCGACCAGAAGGATCCTTTTCGTATGAGATTTTTCCAAATCCAAGTGACCCACAAAGATGATTGCACAGAAACTATTCTCCAAATCAGTTTCAAGCAACTAACCTTATTTGCTTCGGCAAGTGATTTTATTCCCAGCCCTCCCTCTTGTTTAGGCTTACATATTTCCGTCCAAGCTATCTTTGCTTTCTTGGGGTTAAGATCAGGACCAGACCACAAGAATGCCGCACAAAGTTTATCTATCTCCTTTATACAACCAGCGGGTAAGCGATAGGCGGATATCCAGAAATTTGAGAGACTTACAATGACTGAATTGATAAGAGTTAGACGGCATGCGTAAGAGAGAGCACAGGCTGTCCATGAACTTATCTTGGCTCTAATTTTTTCTAGGAGCGGAGCATAGTCAGCCGTAGTCATCCTCTTGGTTAAGAGAGGTAGGCCCAAGTATGGAACCGGTAGTTGTCCCGTTGCAAATGGGAAACTTGTAGTGATTTGGTCTCTGTTCTGTTCTGAAATCCCAGCAAGATAGAGTGTTGATTTTTCCAAACTGATTTTGAGACCTGATTTTCCCGCAAATTCTTGAAAATTTTTGATGATCCCCTCTATTGACCTCTTTTGACCATCCACAAACACCATGAGGTCATCAGCGAAGCAAAGGTGGGTTAAGCCAATGTTTTTACACTTAGGGTGATAGCCAATGTTCCGACTTACCGCAGCTTTGTCGATCATATGTGACAGGACATTCATGCAAATGACGAATAGATATGGGGAGAGAGAGCAGCCTTGACGAAGTCCACGAGAACTGTTGAAAAAACCCGCCAACTCACCATTCACTTGAACAGAGAAGGTAGCTGTTGTGATGCATAGCTTTATCCAGTGAATAAAATTTTTCGGGAAATTCAAAGCTTCGAGTGTGTTCAGCAAGAATCCCCATTGGACAGAGTCAAAGGCCTTGGATATATCAATTTTCATAACGCAGCGAGAGGAGATCGATTCTTTATGATAATCTTTAACCAATTCCGTTGCCAATAGCACATTTTCCATCAATAGTCTCTCCTTGACAAAAGCGGACTGATTCTGTGAAATAAATCTCGGGAGTATACTCTTGAGTCTATTTGCGAGAATCTTTGAAATCACCTTGTACAACACATTGCAGCACGAGATGGGACGGTAATCTTTCATTTCTGTTGCTTCCTCCTTTTTTGGTATTAATGCCAAAATCGTTGTGTACAGATGTTGATTTAAAAAAAACAACAATTACAACAACAAACCCAAATTAATTTCTGTGTTACCACTGCTATAAATAGATCAGACAAAATGATAGTTTGTGTTCCATAAATGATGATATATCTAATCTAAGCTCGTATCTCTAAAAATTAGGAACAAAAAAAGAACATTGCATTCATACTCATTATTTTCTTCAAAATGGGTACCAATGGGAACCTATTGTAATCAAGTAATTTCGCAACATTTAAAATTATTTACAATGCTTCGGAAAAATCTAAGTTCACTAGCTTCTTATGAAGAAAAAAATTATAGGTTTAATATATTAACATGATTTATATGTTAACCTAACTTGTAATCTTTGGTGGACTTATAAGATGATTGCTCTAACTCATGAAACAAACTTGTGTCATCCGATATGATTTGTGATTTCACCCATCATCTTCTATCAATGTTCTGCTAAAAACACTATAAAAGTGGAACATATATAGATTTCCATTTTCTTCGTCTAAAATGTTGACTAGAAATAAAGACTAAAACTAGATATCCAATTTTCGACCAGTTTTCTTTTCCATAAATTGATAGAAGAAGAAGATGAACAAAAAGAAAACAATCAAGACAAAAGAGGCTTCTTAGAGTCGAACTCACTCTCAAAACTCTCAATTTCAGAGAACCCTTCTTTGCCTTTAGCCCATAACACAAGGTATAGCCCTACGAACATCAACACCATCCCTCCCACACTGCAATTTTTTGTTAATCATTCATTAAATTAAAGAAATCAAAGATTATAACCTTTGGAACTATAACATATCGGAGTAACTATTAGTTCTGACGGTTTGGATTTTAATCTGGTAACAATGAGCATATGTTTAGATGGTAATTCAACATTTGTAATGTTACCAGTGAGAACCTAAAATTGTTAAAAGAGTTGTGTTAAGGTTCACCTTCCAAGGCTAACGGACTCTCCTAATGTCAAAACGGAGAAAGCAACCGAAATAACGGTAGCGAAAGGACTAAACATTGAAACCAAAACCGGTCCACGTTTCTTCATGGCCCATCCATTAAAGCTAACACATGCTCCACTCACTGTCCCTGCCTGACCATTTCAAAAACTATACATTCTAACCATAAACCAATTAAATATGTTATCATGTATACGAATGATTCATTTGAACTTACCAGGAGAGAGTAACCAACGAGGTTACCGAAACTAACAAATGAACTGCTAAGTACTTTTGCCTTTCGGTTTTGTAGTAGTAGTACCACCGTTGTTATCAACATTCCTAGTAATGCCGTTATTGCACTTAAGGATATCGGTGCCGGAAACTCTGCCAATGTTGACGCCTGAAATAACCGAGTTTTAGAAACCGAACCAAACTGGTCACGAAGAATCGGATTGCTTACCTGAAGAACAACGTTGGTAGATAAAACAAAGACGGCTCCAAGAAGGTAGATACATCCGACGACCTTATCTCTATCAAAGACGAATACTGGAGTATCATCTTCTTCTTTATGACTGATAGAAGTGCTGTGCATTATGCTCATAGTTAAAGCGCCGAATACACATAACAATGTCCCTAAGATCTTCAGTTTGCTGTACACACATTTCAGATTCATCTTCTCTAACCTATCCATAACAGAAGACACACTTAATGTTGGAACACGTCGTGCAGTCGCATGTTAAAACAAGGATTAAGTGGTTCACCCAACGATCCAAGCGAGGAAGAAAATAAGACCAGGAGCGAGATTAGGCATCGCTGTTGCCATTGCTGGTGATGTCAACCTGATTCCTTCTAGAAACAGAGACTGGAACAGAGTAACCCTGTTTTTTTTTTTTTTTCAAATAAAGAACCAAAAAAAGCTGTGAAAATGTAAACCAAGTTTTATACTTTTAAACACAAAAAAAAGAGAGTAAATGGAGGATTACGCTTACCCTGCAAAGGAGATCAAAACTAGCTTACCAATCAGCCTCAAACTAAGCTCATTTGGCCATTGCTTCCTTTAGAGCAACAAAAACAAAACAAAACATTTTACTATGTGAAAAGAATAGGACAAGTTTAGCTAGTTTTTTGTAGGGTATGTGAAAATGTTATCAAACAAACCTTTCGAAGAGGATGGCGAAAGGCGAGAGAATTATGAAAGTGGCAAAGGTAGAGAAGATGACAATGGTGAAAGGGCCAAGACCAAGTGACATCAAATAACTCATGAGCAAAGAATTGCCTGCGTATACAAATTGAACCATTACTAAACCTCCTACTATCACCATCTCTTCTATCATCTCCTTCTTCATCCTCTCCTCTAGGAGATTAAGCACCGATCGATACAAATTCACACAAAAAAACTGCATGGCAAGAAATCCGTTATAAGCACAATGAGTTAGGATAAGATTGCAATAGAGAGATTTTACCTTCATCCAGAAAATATATCTGGAATCACCATTTTCTTCTTTTCTCTCTCTTTCCTTTACTCTCTGATTATATTCCTCAAGTTTTGTTTCTGTAAGAAAACAGACCCTCCATTGTTGTTCCATCTATATTTGTTACTTCCCAAATAACTTTCATATTTCTATTTTAAGCCATTTTTATCCCAACCTTCAATCTCACCAAAACTGCTCTGCAATCTTCCCCCAAAACATTTTTTTTTTTGTTTTGGTAAAATTTACCAAATATTTGGAATTTTGATTCTATATGATGCATCATGGACCAATCTGATTAAAAGGGTAATAATATCAAATGCTAAGAACTGTGTCAAATGCTTTTCCGACAAGGAGCCATGTTGGTTCCACTGCCTATTCGAACTCATGGACCACCATTGTTCCTGCTCTGGCTCGGTTCGGTTCCATCGGCGTATTACGCGCTGCAGTTGAATTGATCAATGACGGCGAAAAGCCAGGTGCTTCTCCACTTGTTCACTTGCTCCGTGTCTCCGGGAATTATGGCTACGTTTCTTTGTGTCGACAGCTTCATGGCTACGTCGTAAAACATGGGTTTGTCTCAAATACGCGTCTTTCCAATTCGTTAATGAGGTTTTACAAGACAAGCGACTCGTTGGAAGATGCTCACAAACTGTTTGATGAAATGCCTGACCCAGATGTCATTTCTTGGAACTCATTGGTTTCTGGTTACGTTCAATCAGGAAGGTTCCAGGAAGGACTCTGTTTGTTTCTCAAGCTCCACAGATCTGATGTTTTGCCTAACGAGTTCTCTTTTACAGCCGCTTTAGCTGCTTGTGCGAGACTGCATCTCTGGCCACTCGGAGCTTGCATCCATTCCAAGATTGTGAAACTTGGCTTAGAGAAAGGCAATGTTGTTGTGGGTAATTGTCTAATTGACATGTACGGGAAATGTGCTTCCATGGATGATGCAGTTTTGGTCTTCCAACACATGGAAGAAAAGGACACAGTTTCTTGGAATGCCATTGTTGCTTCCTGCTCAAGGAACGGTAAGCTCGAGCTGGGACTTTGGTTTTTCCACCAAATGCCAAATCCAGACACTGTAACATACAACGAGCTCATCTATGCTTTCGTCAAGTCTGGAGATTTCAATAATGCCTTTCAGGTTCTATCAGATATGCCAAATCGAAATTCGTCTTCATGGAACACAATATTGACCGGCTATGTAAACAGTGAGCAATCAGGAGAAGCTACTGAGTTTTTCACCAAAATGCATTCATCGGGAGTTGGATTGGATGAGTACAGCTTGTCAATAGTTCTGGCCGCCATTGCTGCTCTCGCTGTGGTTCCATGGGGGAGTCTCATCCATGCTTGTGCTCTCAAGCTTGGCCTAGACTCTCGAGTTGTTGTCGCGAGTGCTCTGATAGATATGTATTCCAAATGCGGAATGTTGAAGCATGCTGAGCTGATGTTTTGGACAATGCCTAGAAAGAATCTGATTATGTGGAACGCGATGATCTCTGGATATGCCCGTAATGGCGATTCAATCGAGGCGATCAAGCTCTTTAACCAATTGAAACAAGAAAGGTTCATGAAACCTGATCGATTCACGTTCTTGAATCTCTTAGCTGTGTGTTCTCATTGTGAAGTTCCAATGGAAGTCACGCTTGGATACTTTGAGATGATGATTAACGAGTATGGAATCAAACCAAGCGTAGAGCATTGCTGTTCTATTATCAGAGCTATGGGACAGAGAGGAGAGGTCTGGCAGGCAAAAAAGGTGATTCAAGAATTCGGTTTTGGGTATGATGGTGTGGCTTGGAGGGCGTTACTTGGTGCTTGCAGTGCTCGCAAGGATCTGAAAGCTGCAAAAACCGTCGCCGCAAAGATGATTGAATTAGGGGAAGCTGATAAAGATGAGTATGTATACATAGTGATGTCAAATCTCTATGCTTACCATGAGAGATGGAGAGAAGTTAGTCAAATTAGGAAGATAATGAGAGAAAAAGGGGTAACGAAAGAAGTTGGGTCTAGCTGGATTCAAGAGCAAAATGTAGCAGTACAGTTTTAGTATCTTTTAAGTTTTGAGCTGCTGGTTATGTAAACGCAATGTCAAACTAGTCATGAAATCAAACATGAGGCTAGTTTCTGAGAGATGAATCGTGTAAAAAGAAGAAATAGTATTACATTTTTTTTCCCTTCATGAATCAAAGAACATGAGTTTGGAGTCATAACAAAAACAACAACTTCTTGTCTCTAAGTTTAGAGAAGAAACTTGCATCCCTCAACTTGTCACCTTGGAACTGAAAGGCCCATCTCTATAATAGTAAATAGAAAGAGAAATAAAGATTAGGGCAGAAACAGAAAACTGATTTTACAAAAGTAAGAAGAAAGATGGATGCTTCGGGCTTATTGACTTCATGGTAAGAATCTTTAAACAATGCTAAGTGAATCAGATGAACAGTAAACTAGTTAAGCTATCTCATCTAAAATAGCTTCCTAAACTCTAAATTATCACCAAAGCATTGTTGACAGAGCCCACCTTTAAAAACAACTGCAAATACGTCTCACGTGCCATCGATTCCATCTGGGACAAAGAGCACTTTTACAAATTACTAGATTATTTTTGCCACTCTTTTACACAGATCATGAACTTCCCTAGACTGGCATTCATAGAAACAAGAAACACAATGACAATATGACGCATCTAACATTCAAATTCCACGTTCTTCAGGGTTTATCCTAGAGCTTGTATTCGAATATTTAATTAGGATTACTAGGAACTCAAAAAAGGTTCGTACTTGATAAAGATGCAAGGATCCCACATGGTAACGGTGAAATTATGTGCCTGCATGAACCAAGTACTCATAATTAGACAGACACAATGGCACTGAAGCTCAAAACTCTTTCACAATTCTAGAAACTGATTCACTCATAAGTTTGACTAGGGAAAATCCTCCTACTTGTTATGAGTCAAATATTGAAACTATCAACACTACAAATGCACCTATTTCACCAAGCAAGCAAAGTCATAAAACCAAGAAATAACATAAAAAAGGAAAAAGTTTACAACACTTCATATGAGCAATCAAACAATTCATCAGAGCAAACTAAAGCTTCAGATGTAGAACACTTAAAAAAAAGCACTGAAAAAAAGGTTTCAGCTTTCTAAGTCTAACTAACAAAACGACTGCTACAACCATAACCTCTATACCCATGGATGATGTGCAAAAAAACCATAAAAAGTATCAAACTTTAACACGCTGTCCGATCAGAGCAATCTAAGACTTGAGCAACATAGAATTACAAATTTTAAAGTCTCAAGAAAGAAGGATCAAACGTAGAGAAGAAAGCAAAAAAAAAAAAAAGCTACTCACAAGAAAGAAAGCAGAAAAGAGAATTAGAGGTCGGGAGAGGTGCAGCAGAGAGTACCCTGAGAGAGAGCTCGGCTGCTTCTGGAAGTTGTGCTTAGGCATGAAGTCAACCGAGCAGCCGCCACCGTGCTGTGAAGCGGTAACAGCGACTGAACACAACCAAGCTCAGATGGACACCTACATGTAATGTAATCACACAACTTCATCAAATGAAATCAAAGAAATGGCTAAAGTGAAGCAGATACATGGAATTAGACATAAGCAGACCTGGAGAAGGAGAATCGGGGAAGTGGAGAAGCAGCAGGTTTAGACGGAATACGAAATCCGGCGGATGAAGCAGCAGCCGGAGAAGATCCGGTGCCAATGGGAGAATTTCGAAGTGAAGATCTGATTGCGGATTTGAGAGAAGAGACGGAGGATCTGCTCATGAATCTAGACGCCATTGTAAGAGATAGAAAAAGCCGGAAAAAGCAAGATCGAACTTCGTCGTCTACAGAGGTTTTATAGGGTTTTAGAACGGACGGAGGAAAGAAGAAGAAGAAGCCGTCTCTCTGTTCTTTTTTTTTTAAGGGGTTTGGGAATCTTTCAGATAATTGATGGGCCTTTATGGGCTTTAGGCCCATTAACGAAAAAGGTACGTCATTTGAACTCGCTTAATGCGTCGGAGGGTTTGTTTTACCAAAAATTTAGAGCTCTCTCTCATTCGATCTCGAAGATTTCACCGACTTATCGGAGTTTGGATCGGAGATTAAATCCGGGATATCACCGACGAATCCTTTCTGGATTTTGATCTATTTGATCTTGATCCTCTCGCGAAGCTTTTGCAGATCCGTCGATCTCTTTCTGTGATTCTGTGGGGTTTAGGGTTAGGGTTTTAATTTCGATTTCGATTTTGGTTGTCAATTTTGATGGCTTCGACTGCTGATTTCCTCCTGGAGGATCAAACGGACGAGGATTTCTTCGACAAACTTGTTGATGATTCCTATACTCCTACCGCTTCATCCTCTGCTAAGGAGCTCAAATTCGATGACGGTAGTGATTCCGATGACGCCAAAGCTTTTGCGAATCTCTCCGTCGTTGACGATGTTGTGGGTGATGGAGATGTCGCATTGAATGAAGCAGGTTTGGGTACAAGTGGTTCGGTGGGAAAAGAAGAGCCTTCTTCATCTATTGCTCCGGAAGCTCTTCAATTTGTCAACAGTGATGCAAATAAGTTAAGGGATGATGATGATGTGGTGAGATCGGGGGTGGATGATATGCCACTAACTGAAACGGCAAAAGAAAGTAATATAGTCGATGGATCTGGGAGTCCTGGGGTTAAGGAGGTTGGTTGGGGCTCCTTTTATGCCGATTCATCTGTAAATGACGGTCGTGGGTTTGGTTCATACTCTGATTTCTTCACTGAGTTGGATGGAACTGCAGGGGATTTACAGGGACAGGCCGAGGTAGCTGTGGCCACTGGAGGCAACTTAGTAGCCAATGCAACAAGTGTTGGTTTAGATAATTCGGCAGGGTTTGAGCAACACCATGGTCAAGTGCAACACGATTCTGGAAGCGGGCGGTATGTGGATAATAGTCAATCTTGGGAATATCTCTATCCTGGATGGAAATATGATGCGAGTACTGGTCAATGTATCAAGTTGATGGTCATGATGCAAGCGTGAATTCACAGGAGAGCTATATAAACTCAACAAGTAACTGGGAAAGCGTTGCTGCTGATAACTCGGATGTTGCTTATCTGAAACAGAGTACACCATCTGCAGCGGCTGGCACAGTTGAGAGTGTGTCTACTTGGAATCAGGTTTCACAAGTGAGCAATGGATATCCAGAACACATGATCTTTGACGCTCAGTATCCTGGATGGTACTATGACACAATTGCTCAAGAGTGTCGCTCTCTAGACAGCTACAACCAGGCTTCTCAAACAACTCTAACTGGTCAAGCTCATGATAAGCAAGTTCAGAATGGTCATGCTCGTAATAACCAGAGTAGTATGTATGATGTTAACGACAAAAACCAGACTTTCAAAGCGCAAGAATATGCTATTCAGAGCCAACACGGAAGTTGGGACCAGTCTTACTATGCCAACAATCAGCAGGCTGCAAACACTTGGCAATCAGTAAATGTAGGTCAGGCTGAGCCTGCTATAAATTCGGATTCATTATCAAGCTTTGGAGGAAACCAGCAAGTAAATAATTTGTACAGTACAGAACCTGTGACTGAACAGTTTAAGCCAAATGCGATTGGAGCGCAGAGCTTCATCCCACAGCATATGAATCTGGCTAGTGTCACACAGAATGGACCTTTGAGTTTCTCAAACGATGTCTATAATAGACAGCAATCTGTAGATGATGCTCATCAGTCTTTTCAGAACAATCAGCTTTTCTCCCCAAGTGCGGGAAGATCATCTGATGGTCGTCCACCACATGCACTTGTCAGTTTTGGATTTGGTGGGAAGCTCATTGTTATGAAGGATAATAATGGTTCTCTGCATAATTCATCATTTGGAAGTCAGGTTAGTCCTTAAGTGTGAATTTTCATTAGTTTATTTTACAGCCTGGGAAGTTTATGAAACTACTATAGAGCTATCACTAGTTTATTTTGTTTATCATTGAACATGTATGAAATATATTGTCCAATTATAACCTCAAAAAGTGAAATTTATTTCTGGTTTAACTGCTGATATATCTCTATCTGAATAAAAGGGAATTGGGGGAAGCTCCGCCTCCGTCTTAAGTTATTTCTGGGAGTGCCTCTTATTCCAGTCAAGGGGAAGACTCTTTGAGCTACTTTCGTTGCCTGCATCAACAATCTCTTCCAGGTCCTTTGGTAGGAGGAAATGTTGGAAGTAAAGAGTTGCATAAGTGGATTGATGAGAGAATTTTGAATTGTGAATCTTCCTATATGGATTTTTCAAGAGGGAAACTCTTAAAGATGCTTCTTTCTTTACTCAGAATATCTTATCAGTATTATGGGAAACTCCGTTCTCCTTTTGGTACTGATGCATCACAAAAGGTGAGCAATCTATGAGATGTCTTGTCACTTCTTTTTTTTTTTAAAAAACATTGATATGTATTACAATTTTCTCATTCTTGTATATACACTGCAAACAGGAAACGGACTCTGCTGAAGCAGCAGTCGCTAAGCTTTTTGCATTTGCCAAGAAAGATGGCGTACAAAATGGTTATGCTCCTATTAGCCAATGCTTGCAGTATTTACCACCTGAATCACAAATGCAAGTGAGTATTGGACATCAAATTTCATGTACTCTTTCGAGGACGATTTGTTTTTTCTGATTAACTCGTGGAAGAATTCCCCAGGTAACTGCTTCAGAGGTTCAGAATCTTCTGGCTTCTGGTAGAAAAATGGAGGCTCTACAATGTGCACAAGATGGCCATTTATGGGGACCAGCGCTTGTTATCGCGGCACAACTTGGGGATCAGGTTCTTTTCCCTTGATTGCTATAGAACTAAACATTCCACTGTATTGCTTGGTTGACTGACTTAGTGATATCTTAAATTGCAGTTCTATGTTGACACTGTGAAACAAATGGCCCTTCGCCAGCTGATACCAGGGTCACCTTTACGGACATTGTGCCTACTGGTTGCAGGACAACCAGCTGAAGTGTGTCCCGCTGGAAGTAGTAGCATGCTTGACAATTGGGAAGAGAATTTGGGTATAATAACTGCTAACAGAACCACGGATGATGAGCTTGTGATTACTCATCTTGGAGATCGCATGTGGAAAGATAGGGGCGAGGTGGTTCTCCGACTTGTTGTATTGTTTTACTTCATGGAAGATTTTATCATGACATTTGAACTACTGTTATGAATCAGATAATTGCGGCGCATATTTGCTATTTAATCGCGGACAAGAACTTTGATCCATACTCAGAATGCGCCAGACTCTGCCTTGTCAGAGCTGACCATTGGAAATGTCCTCGAACATACGCAAGTCCAGAGGCTATACAGGTGAATTTTTCATCACTGTGTTTTAGTTATCATAATACTGTAGATGGAAGATTCTATTTTGAGCCTCTTTATGAATACCCTCCATGTTACTCAAATGTTGTATAGAATCTCCAACGAAATTCATGCAGGATACCATTCTTTTTCTTACATATTTGATGCTCCCTTGATTTGTCAGTTATCTTTGCATGGGCAGAGGACAGAGTTATATGAATACTCTAAGACACTGGGAAATTCTCAGTATATCCTGTTACCGTTTCAACCATATAAAATCATATATGCCCATATGCTGGCCGAAGTTGGTAATATTTCGACTGCACAGAAGTAAGGAGATTCACTTTCCATCATCTACTCCTTTGTTAGACTGTATAATGGCTTCCTGATGTCCTTTGTGCTGTGGGTGAATAAGGTACTGTCAAGCAGTATTAAAATGCCTCAAGACAGGCCGATCACCAGAAGTGGGAATGTGGAAACAGTTTGTTTCATCTCTTGAAGAGAGAATCCGTATCCACCAACAGGTACAACTTACACAACTTCTGGTTACATGGAACAGTTGATATTTCGGGTGGGTTTACATCTGTTAGCTGTCTTTTCCTTTAAATGGAAATGGGGAAGTTTCCAGGAAAAAAAATGCAACAGTGAAAAGTATTTACATCTGTGAGTTGTACTTTGATTAAAGATGTGACATCCATAAAACGGGAACCAAGTAAAGCTTCTTTTTTACTTATGATCCGACTAATCGGACATTTCTATTTCAGGGCGGGTATACTGCGAATTTGACCCCAGCAAAACTTGTTGGAAAGTTCCTGAACTTTATTGATAGTACAGCATCTCGTGTTGTTGGGGGGATGCCACCACCTGCACCACATTCAACAACTGGAAACCTGCAGGTAAATGACTATCAACGCGATTGTTTGGCGAACCTCTCTTTTTCAAAATCAAAACTTCGATTTGGTTTTTCATCACGCAAATACGAAAGCCTTCTTTTCTTAGTTGTGTTATTGCATCTTAGGGTTTTCAAATTCTAAACTTGTGTTTCTCTTTAAAGATTTTACGTTGTTGTTTCAAATTGGGTTTATGATTGTTTTGTTTCTGCAAATCAAAGCCCTCTTTTTGTTTTGTGTTCTCTTCTTTTTCGTGGGGCTTTTTTTTTCTTTCTTGATTATCGTTTTCTTAAATTTGAAACCTTTTTTGCAAATTTAGAGTTTTGATTAATTTTCTTATATATTTTCGTAAATCTGAAATCCCTCTTTTGAATTCCAATTTTGTTTTGCTTCTATGGATTTTTACTTCAATCTTTTGTTTGTTTAGAGTTTTTTGTTTTCTTCAAACCCAAAAGAAAGGGACTACACATTATATGATTGTGTCTGTCCGGTTTCTAACTTGGGGAGATGTTGCCTATGTAAAACAAGCAGGATGTGATTAAAAATCTGTAAGACTTGTAAAATTATATCAGACAAGCATGATTTGATTAAAATCTGTAAGTCTTGTAAAATTATGTAAGACAAGCATCATTTTGATGGAAATCTGCAAGTCTTGTTAAATTATGTAATGCAAGCATCATTTTGATTGAAATCTGTAAGACTTGTCTAATTATTTAAGACAAGCATCATTTTGATTGAAATCTGTAAGTCTTGTGTAATTATGTAAGACAAGCAAGATTTGATTGAAATCTGTAAGACTTGTTAAATTATGAAAGACAAGCAAGATGAGATTGAAATCTGTAAGACTTGTCTAATTAATTAAGACAAGCAAGATTTTGATTGAAATCTGTAAGACTTGTTAAACTATGAAAGACAAGCAAGATGAGATTGAAATCTGTAAGACTTGTAAATTATTTAAGACAAGCAAGATTTTGATTGAAATCTGTAAGACTTATCTAACTATGTTCAAAGATTGGATAATTGAATCTAATCGATATATTGCTGGCTGGGCAGCATAACTTCAAGTTTCTGCATAGAACTGCTTTCATTAAGGCTTTTCTAATGATGTCCTAAGAAGGATAAATTCAATGATCTGCTTTAAAACTCAATGATCTGCTTATTGCTGGGGATAAAACTCAATGATCTGCTTATTTGATGGAGATAAATTCAATGATCTGTTTTAAAACTCAATGATCTGCTTATTGATGGAGAAAAATTCAATGATCTGCTTTAAAACTCAATGATCTGCTTATTGATGGGGATAAAACTCAATGATCTGCTTATTGATGGGGATAAAACTCAATGATCTGCTTATTTGATGGAGATAAAAACTCAATGATCTGCTTATTGATGGAGATAAAACTCAATGATCTGCTTATTGATGGGGATAAAACTCAATGATCTGCTTATTGATGGAGATAAATTCAATGATCTGCTTATTGACGGGGATAAATTCAATGATCTGCTTATTGACGGGGATAAAACTCAATGATCTGCTTTAAAACTCAATGATCTGCTTATTAATGGATATTAATTGTCTTTTATAAGACTTGTCTAATGAATTCCGGTTGGGGAATTCAGTTTTATGGATGAAAATGCCCTTTATGCCTAGCTCTTGAAGCTATTCCTGTTAGCGAAGGCACATCGTTGTGCAACGCTTGATGGGTCGAGGCTCGAGCAAGGCACTAAAGAGAAAGAGAGAGATGAGGCACTAAAGGCAAATCAATATATATCTCATTGAGATATGATATTCAATGGGACATCATGTTCTAACTTACAATATTCTGCATAAAAAAAAAGTCTTTGCAGACTGTATCTTTCCCTCTTTTAATCTGGTAAGTGTCTCTTCCGTCTTTTAAAATAAGGTATGTTCTTCATAATATTTTTCCTTGATGGAGTTTGTAGTTCGTTAATTGATTACATCTTTAGATCACGTAGTCTTTTATAACTGTTTGCTATGAGTGATTTTGATCCTTTTTTTTAGCTTCAGAAGACCATGAAATGGAGTGTGTAAGTGATCTTCCTCAGGTTCGACTTCTCTCCCTCAGTTTGAAATATTAGAGTGTTACTCGCTGTGTTTGATTTGTTGTAGTGAATGTTCAGTATCAAGTACAATATCATTTAGTTTATTTTTGGGCTAACATCCATGAACTTGTGACTAATACTCACTATTTTTTATAATGAACTTGTAAGACTTAAAATAAAGCACGGTTAAGGCAACTTACCGGTTACATGTCTTAGTTACCATTTGCAGAATCAAAATTTGAAAAGTCTTTATGTTCTATTTGCAGGAACCGTAAAGAAGGCATTGTGTACATGAGTAAGATGTAAGTATTGATCCAATTATTCTTGCAAGTTTTATTTATGTCAAAGACTCTTGATCGTACATCTGATATGATTTCAAATTAGGCATCATTGGTGGTAATGTTGTGTACATGAATTCTCTGTTCAATATATAATGTTGTTGCTTGCGTTTTAGTTGTTATAGTGGACAATGTCAGATTTTTAACCGGAAAATTCAGCAGGTTTTGATCAGATAATTTGTTATCCCTTAACCAAAGTTGTGATTCATATATTGTTTATATTGCTGCAAAGTTGAGATCTCATGATTTTTCAACATTCAATGATATATTCTTGTCTTGCTATACTCATTTATGGTTTATATCAAACTTGCAGGAACTAAAGGGTTATTATCTCTCCAAGTCCACGCGATTCTAGACATCTGACTTTGCCATCCATTTGTCGTCTAATACCTCATTCTCTTCTTTGAAACCAAAGGTATAGCCTACAATCATCTTGATGTCCCTACTTACATTTGGACAGTTTTTTTCCAGCCTACGGATATATTTTTAAGCAAAGCATAACTCTTTGATTCTTCAATCAGAGGCATGATTGGAGCTTTTGTTGCGTGCGTCATCTTCAACACTCGTATTTCCAAGTAAGTATATTTTTAAGTTTACTTAAGACGTTTATGCATGAACGTTTTTAGATATTTTGGTATTGTTGGCTTCAGCAAAGCAAAGCTTTGGTTGGTTTATTTCTCCTTTGGCTGCAAATTTAGTATTTGAATGTGTTTTTTTTTTTCTAGGTAGATTAATGTTTCCTTTATACAAATAATCGCATAACACGAACACATACACTAAACGTAAACATACACACAAACGTAACTTTTGTGCTCACACTAATACAAACACAAATGCATTACACGGACACACTCTAAAACGTAAACATAACTTTTGTGCTCACACATGAATGTACTAACTTATTTTAATGCAACACAATTGGAAATGCAATTGTTTATGTTGTATGATGAAGAGTGCTAAACAGAACTTTATGAAATAACTTACTAACCCTCTGTTTAAATAAGAGGCTTATGTACAGTTTTTCATTTCTATAATCTTAAAAGTCTCGTTAGGACTTCATTTTTCAATTTGTGGCATGGAATCAGAGCCGTGAAAAAGCTCTCTTTCATTCACATTTTCTTTGATTCCTTGGAACTTTTCCAAGAATCACTCTCTATTCTATAATCATATATAGGATTAGAGGTAAGCTTGGCCATTTGGTTACTCGGATCGGTTCCATTCAGATTCGGTTCTTCGGTTCTTGAGATTTAGGTCTCATTCGGGTAATTTTTTGGTTCGGTTATGGTTTCGGTCTTTTCGGGTTTGGGTTGGTTACTTTTTACTCGAAATTATTCAAAAGTAACCTTAAACCCGAAATTACTTGAAATACTTAAAAACAAATTGTAACTGTATCAACCAAATATACCCATATTACCTTGAAATTATTCATGGACGTTTGGCATAATCCGTTTAAACCGAACCCAATAAACCGATGATTTCGATTTTCGGTTTGAAATCGACTTACTGTTGTAAACCGATCGGCGGAATTTTAAATTGATTTTGGTTTTCGATTTTTTTGGTTCTGTTCATCAAAACCGATCAGTATTTCAGTTAATAAGGGAGACACCTTATATAAACAGAAAACCCTAGATCTATCACTTCATATGTTTGTTTTTTAATCTCTCCTTCTCACGAACCCTTCTTTTCTACTCTTCGACAAACTCTCTTTATCTTTGACCTTCAATCCTTCTTGTTGGTGTTGGATCTCAGTATCCGCCCAGCCCGGAGGAAAAACGGTTTATCGTAAATGGGCCGCAAGATCCTAACTGGGCCGAGAGCTGTAAGAAATGGCTGAGATGTCATAGCCCTAGATAAAGGCACATCGAAGTTGAAGGGCATTCCGGAATGCGCGTAACAGGCAAATCTTCCGAGCCATAATGACGAGATGTTGATTGCAGAGCATTTAATAGTCCGTTCTGCGGATTGTAAGTAACGTGCTCATTTAATAGTCCTTCCTGCATTTATGAAATATTATCTAGGGTTCGCATAAAAATAAAGAGGGGTCTATATTGTAAGGTGGATGAAAAAATCTTGTAAAAAAACTATCACGATTAATACTACACACTTTTCAACTCTCGATTCATTGTTTTACGATTCGAACATGCTCATCTCACGAGGCCGAGAACCCCAAATTGTCCACAAATTCTTAAGTGCGAATTTCGACATCATCCATATTTTAGCGCTAGGAGGGGCATCCCAATCTCTCACTCTAGAGTATCAGTCGAATCGCTATGGCAAACAACAGAGATCAAACCTCTACGCTTGACGAAATCAAGAAGTTGTAGAAGGATTTGGATGATAAGTTGGATCAACAGCAGTGCACCATCACTGAACTGTCTGAGAAGTTCATATCGTTTGAGGAGCGTTCCAACACTTAGCTTACAGTCCTTACTGCAAGTTGCTCTGAAATCAGGGTTAATACATATTGATTATGCTGACCGAGTCAACACTCTTACTAAGGACTTTGTGAACCTCCGGATCAAGACGGCGTTTAGAGTTTACGACCCTATCCACCAGAACCCTCAAGTTTCTCAAATTGTTGTTGCTGGTGGAGTACTCCGCTACTGCTGCGTCCGGAAGTCACGCCTCTTACCCACAATTCGGAATGCAACAACACTTTTTTCACTTCAATCTAGAGATCCAAAGCATGCAGAACCAGATCAGAGCAATTAAAGTCCATAAGGCCACCAACTCGGCTCCTGAGGTGGACATGGTAATTGAAGAAACAACGAGAACTCTTTTCACACCTCGCATCTCTTTATTTCGTATCCGAGATACCAGGTAGATAAAATTCCCGAGCTACAGTGGAAAAGGAGATTCAAAGCAGCATCTTACCTTTTTTTTTGAGTATCTGCAGGGCGCGTACGCCTTGAACCGCATGAAGATGCATGACCTTGTAAATTGTTTGTTGAGAACCTTTTCCGGACCGACCCTCTCATGGTTCACTCATCTTGTAGAAGGATTGATCGATAACTTCAATCAGTTACTTCATCAAGCATGCATTCACTAATGCTCAACTTTGGAACCTTTCCCAAGCTGTAACTGAGCCACTTCGCGTCTACATTACGACATTCAAGGAAATCATGGTTCAGATTCCTAGATTGTCAGATTCAGCAGCTTTAGCAGCTTTCAAAAATGGTTTAAGGCATGAGTCCCGCTACCATAAAGAATTGAACGTTAATCGACCTACAACAATCCTAGACGCACTTCACCGAGTAACGAATTAGATCAATGCCGAGGAAGAGCGAGTTGCCCTGGCTATCTAAGAAGTTCAAACAGCTCTGAAGCCACGTTATCTTTGAAAAACAAAAATGGCGCTTTCCCAAGTGAAAAATAGGTCCGAGATCCATTTCTTATTGCTCCAATTGCTTTTTGCTAATTTCCCAAGATCAATAAGCACGCTACTAATGATTGCAAAAGGTTGGGGCGGCTCCTTGCAGCTAAATTTGCGGCTGGCAAGATCACTGAGGTCGATTTCTTAGAGCTCAAGCAAATGCAAGCCCATAACCAAGTTGTAGAAATCGAAGAACCTTCACCTCCCAGTAAGAAAGCTAAGACAGCTCAGAGTCTGAACAATCCAAAGATCCCAAAGAAAAGAATCGAAATGATTATGGTGGATCAAAACTATTCTATGATTCGATCATCGCTATCAATCATCATTAGCGTAAAGCGACATCGCCATTGGTTACACAAGCCAAGCTAACCTGCTAAGAGTTACCCGAGATAATGTTCAGAAAAAGCGAAATGGATGGTTTGAACAAGCCTCATGACGACGCATTGGTCATAATGCTCGACATAGGGCATTACGAAGTATCATAGATTTTGGTGGATATCGTGAGTTCGGTTGATATGATTTTTTCCTGGATACTTTAACTAGAATGGAAGTTTCGAAGCAAGATATCAAGAGACCCACAAGTCCTCTAGTCCCCTTCACTAGTGAAGCTTCAATGTCATTAGGAAGAATTATACGGCCTGTATCAGCTTGAGGAGTTGTGAAAATGGTCGAGTTCACAGTTTTTGACTGACCAGCAACTTACAATATAATTTTGGGAACACCATGATTATTCGAAATTAAAGTAGTACCTTCAACATATTATCAATGCGTGAAGTTTTCTACGAAAACCGGGGTGGAGCAAATTATGGGAAATCAATGAGATCTCGCACAAGCGCAATGTTGGTCATACTTTCAAACCCGTAAAACAGAAGCGAAGAAAACACTATCCCGACCAAGTAAAAGTTGTTAATTCCGAGGTAGTCAAATTACTCGATGCCGATCTAATTTGCAAAGTTCAATATCCTGACTGGCTCGCAAGTCCCGTAGTGGTCAAAAAGAAAAACGAGAAGTGGTGAGTCTGTGTTGATTTTCCTGATCAAAAGAAAGCTTGCCCCAAGGACAGCTTTCCATTTCCTCACATCGACAGTCTTGTAGAATCCACAACTAGTCACGAGATGCTATCTGTCATGGTTGCTTTTTCGGGTTATAATGAAATTTTGATGAATCTGAAGGATCAAGAGAAAACATTTTTCATTACGGATCGCGAGACCTATTGTGATATGGTCATGCCTTTTTGGCTTGAAAAACGCTGGAGCTACGTACCATCGTCTAGTAAACGGAATGTTTCAGGATCTCCTCGGAAAAACTATGGAAGTCTTTGGTTTTGACTTCGCACATATGGCATTTAAAAGAATGTTTTGCCATTTTGAATCACTTCAGAATGAAGTTAAGTCCGTCTAAATGCACATTTGCCTTACCTTCGGAAGAGTTCTTAGGATATATAGTCACTGAGCGCATAATCGAAGCAAATTCAAACCAACGAAACTCGTTTCTTACTAAACTTCTCCAAGCAACATCTGTAAGGTTCAACGTTTCACTGGGCGGGTCGCAGCCTTAAACTGATTCATTTTCATGTCAATCGATAAATGCCTCCAATTTATAACTTGCTTCAGAAGGGAAACAAGGGTTTCACCTAGGATGAACGGTGTTAGGATGGTTTCAAGGAATTCAAAACTTTTTTATCGAAACATCCAATTTTAGCCAAACCGGAGTTCGCGGAGCAGCTTTTCCTCTACATTTTGGTTTTGGATCGTGCAGTAAGTGGAGTACTCGTTTGTAGCGAAGAGAGACCAATCTTTTACATAAGTAAATCAATCACTGGAGCTGAGTCGAGGTACCCTATGATGGAGCGAAATTAAGGCCATTTTTCAAGTATCATATGATTGTTGTTTTAGCCATGCAACCACTTCGTACGATCATGCACAGTCCCAATCAATCAGGGTGACTGGCTAAGTGGGCTATCGAGCTCAGTGAATATGACATCGAGTTCGAACTATAGGACATGTGCTAAATCCCAAGTACTCGCTGATTTTTTTAATCGAATTCCCATTTCTTGGTTCTCCATATTGATAGTGCCTCCTCGAAGCAAGTAGTAGGAGTCGGGATTTGATTCAAATCACCTAGCGGAGAGGTTATCGAGCAATTGTTCCGTCTCCCATTCGATGCCTCCAATAACGACGCATATTATGAATCTCTACTTGC